GCACACAACCCAGTTATTGAGTGTAAGAAACTAAAATATAATTTTCTATTTATACTAAAATTGTGTTGATGCACATAAACTTAGTAATTACATGATATTTACCATGTGCTGGCATTATAAAAAATAAAATAATAGCATCTTACCGTGTTGCATTTGGTCCCACACACCACCTGCCTGTGATTGAGCCACTGTGAAGCAAACACCTTGTTGAGTCTCCCCAGAGAAAACTCCCTCTCCTTCAGGATTCCAGGGAGCCTCCCCGCTGCAAAGCCCCGAAGGCTTCGCTGAAGCCGCACCTCATGCTGCTGTTGAGGTCTGAACTCCCGTCCCCGAAGGGCACATACCACGGAGTGCCGACTGCACCACCACTGCTGAGCATGACGTGAAGAAGAAGAAACACGGCTCCGCTTGTTTGGTGTCTGACTCCAGCCCAGCTAAAGAAAAAGATTTAAAAAAGGGTTAATATCCCTAAGATTTTCTATGGGAGGATAATTTTTTTTTGTCGAGACCAAAAGATTACAAAATACAAATACAATAAATATTTTACTCACAGTAGGGTTGGACCTTTATTGCAATAATAAATCAAACCAATGTACAGATCAAATGAGTAAAGATTAAAGTTACTATCATAATCCAATAACAATAATTTGTTTGATTAATCTCTAATTCAGTACAAAAAATTGTACCAAGCCACTCATCTCCCAGAATACTGTTGACACATCTTTGTAGCTCAATGACACAGATTTAAGAGCCCAAGTGGATCATGAGTAATTGAGCAATAATACACAACTGCAAAGCCCCTGACACTACATTAGGTTGGTTTATTACAGGAATTAAGTATAACACACATCTTGCGAGGCTAGTATTATTAGGTTTCTATCGCGGAGATGAAAAATACATATATAGACTTAACACTTATTGGTTGAACTCATAACAATCGCAGCCTGGTCAGAAAAAAAAACAAATAAATAAAAATAAAAACCACGCACCCACATAGCTATTAATATTTCCAGTCAAAATATTTTTTGAGATACCTAATCTAACCCGATTCCCAATGGACAACCAGAGTTGTGACAGTGCTCATTCAAAAATAATGTTCAAGTTAATTGTCGTTCATTAATTTGGTCCTCCTCAGACAAGCCCTCCAGCAACGTTTCCGGTCATCCTGATCTTCCATGGGTCTAATTAGCTCACCAGTGCTTTCTGAACCTGCATCTTTCTCCATGGTGATATGCGTCTGCCTGCTTGGTAGTGTAGCATCCAGCCTGGGAATTCTTCAAGGTGGACTTTACTGTCCAACATTCACGTCTATTCAAGAATACTGTCTCAATGGAGCTGTGTATGTAGTGGATGTATGGACTTCCACACACTGGCCACCAAAAGCAAAAAGTATTGCAAAAATACTGCAATTTATCACAATGGTGAAATTATTATCAAGTAAGCCACAAAATAAAGCAGCTGGCAGAACAATGAATACTGTTGTCAAGTGAAGAAATTATTATTATCATCATCTCGCTTCAAGCCTGGACACTTTCAGGGGTCCAAGAATAACCTTCTGACAGTTGTACTCACTAGTGGCATCAGATGCATCATAATGCTATTAGATGTTTGTTATTCTTACTTTGATTAGTGGCAAACAAGCTAAAAGAAGCATCTGAATATATTTCCAAAATGACAACAAATATTGATTATAAATTGACTCTGACCTACTTATACATTAAACAATATTGGACAATTCTGTGTTAGAGGAAAAGATTTTTAAAATGTCTAATTAATTGATCTGTAGAAATTAATTGAGTGAAATTAATGTTCAGTGTTTCTGTTTATTTCATGTGATTTTGAAAGTCTAAATGTTGTTCTTTCTCTGTGGTAGTCCTACAAACACGAGGTAAGACACGACATTGTTCACGTTTACTTATAATCTCACAAAAGTTGTTAGAAATGATGCCACCTACGTGCAATGATCTTATGAGAGTTCATGTTCACACATAAGAGGATTGTCTTGGTCAGCCTGTTTGTAGGTTAAATGACTGATAATAATAAACACAGCAAAGCAGGAGCAGACATCATCTACTCCAATTATTATCATGTAAACATCATTTTAAACGATTATTTAAGGTTTTTCTATGACGACCTAGAGGCGTCTAGTGACGACTCCAGTTAACCAACATACTTTAATCATTATATCGTGATAATAATCAAATTACAGCCACAACAACAAGGTCTTCGCTCGTCGTGGCTAGCTGTCGTAACGACCTGCCGTTGGCGATCGCCATGCTAAAATCAGCGGCTGCTGACGTTCAAACAGAAACACGCAGTATCGTTATTTACATTGCACCACAATTCCCATATCTAGAAACGTCGTCGTTGTTAATTTTGTTTAATGCATACATATATTGCAACAGGCTTGGCCTGTATCTGCGAAACCTGGCTAGCCCACTGCTAGATAGCATGCTAAGTGGCTAGCGTTAGCTTTAATTGATCCGCACCGGTTTCCGCCTACCTGTTGTTGGTCCTTGGGCTCTCCTGCCTTCCTTTTCCTGCTAACTGTTTTTCTCGCCATAATCTGATACACACAGTTCCCTCACCCACATGGAGGGTAAAAGTGACTCTGGACACTGGATCATATAATGGCGATATGCTATTTTGTTCCTTGGCCCTCGCTGGCAGCGTCCGACGAGGAGGAAGGGCGATCACATACGGGAGAGGTTGGTTTGTCGCTGGTAGAGATAGTCGCTGAATTATCCTTGGCTCCTTAACAATGCCCGCCTGGGGTCGTACAATGTATTCAGTTTCGATAGACTCGCTAGCAACAGCCAGACGGTGAACTCTCTTTTTTTACCAACCAAGTCGCGTCAGCAACGGCGAAAGCATTGAGCAACGCGCAGCCGCACTCACGTTAAACATCAACAAAAACAAGGTCGTACGTGAACGCGAGCGTCATGCGTGCTCGTTCACGTCAGCTGCGTAAGATTTTTAGATTATTCTGACCTCCTGCTGTTTTTCATCAACTTCTATTATGTTTCAGATTGTTGTAAACTTTGACGGTCATATAAAAAAAAAACCTGATTTATATTTTAAAACAAGTTTAAACATCGTATGTTTTAATTTGACGGCTTTATAATCATACAATAGAATCTAAGACTATGAAAATGGCGAGTTTCGATTTCATCAAAATGTCATGTATTATATTTTATCTGTAACACTTCACAAAAATAATTCTAGTAATAAAATACAAATACTATGCAGGGGTTCTGTCTGTCATATTCCTTCATATTTGTATTATAGTTTCTTTGAACACTGAAGAGTTCAAGTCAACCTGAACAATTTCAAAGATGAAATGTATTAAGCTTCAATTTAATTTCATAAATTTTTCCCAGAAAGTTGTCTTGCTTGGCTTATGGTAAGCTAGTGACTATTTGCATTAGCGCAAACTCATGGTTGACATATCACACAGATGACATTTTGTAAGCCATTATCTTAAGGTTTGCTACAGATGTAAATTGTGACTGTGATCACCTGTTATTTATCCATGGTTAGCACAGGCTGACCAAATATGACCTCTATTCTGATGCATAATTGTCTTTTTATCAGCTGACCGGGCAACAGAGGTGGACGCTTCCAGTTGCGACTCACAATACCTGGATGGAGAATCATCTGTATTGTTCATGCCTTGTCTGCAGAACAGAAAGAATAAAAATGAATAAACTACACAAGAGAGACAACAATAAGCCAGAGAGTTGTACTTCCTTACCAGCTTCTGTAACTAAATAAGGAACACCAGCAACTTTCAATAGTCTCACCACTGAAAAGATGTGCACATTTAATCATGTTCATTTTCCAAATAATTCCAAGGAAAATTGAACATTTTGAAAATCACAGTTTATGAGCTTGGGGGGGGGGGGGGGACCCACCCACCCACCTTTAATCACACCATCAAGATATTCCAATGTTCATTAGAGTCATGTTCAATTATGCAGGGACTTAAAAGTGGATCTGATATATTTACCCATACACGGTGGCCTAAATAATAATAAAAAAACCTAGTTGCAATCTATTCCCACAGTTAGAAGACCAAACACAAATAGGAAGAGTTACAGAACCTACTTTTTTGTATTCCCTTCAATTTGTGTGGCAGTAAAATGGGAGGCAAATGGAGATCGGATGTATTTATGTATGATTAAGGACACCGAACTTGTGTTTAGTAAGGGCAGCTAATATGCTTTTGTATCTGTTAAAGTAGCCGTACCGGTCTTCTTAACCACAGAAAAACAAGACAGAAGGTATGGACAATTAAACTTGACCTGGGGGAAGACAGACATTTACTGTCCAGTCTTTGACACTTCCACAGCTTGTGTCATCTTTTTTTTCTTGCACTAGGCACTCCCTAACAAATCAATATTATGAATGGATTGAATGACTGATTCATGAAAAAGAGCTCTGTTTACTTCAGTTGCCTGTGCTTATCCTTATCGTTTCAATGTTCCTTTTTAAAGTGCAGACTCTTGGTTGTGATTTTACAAAAAGTCATGTTTGTTTTGACATTACATTAAGTTGTAGAATACGGTAGATAGGTGGTTTGAATATTTTGCATTCCTGGAACATAGGATAAGTATTGGACCTCCCCCAAGCCAAGTGCCATTTTAAGCCCTTAATCTGTTACCGTGCCAATATCAATCCCCATTACCAACACAGAGCACAAGATTATGGACATTTCTGACATTTTTGCCTGTGTTACAACTGACCAGATATGTTTTATAAACATATGTAGCATGGAATCAGGAGGGTAATTAATACAAAATATAAAAAAATCAACTTTTCTGGTCTTCTCTTAAACAAAAACCCCAATAAACAACTGGGCAGATGCTTTTGTGGTGTCATGACTAATGCTCATTATTACACATGAAAAACAAGTGAACAACTCGTCAAACCAATGTCATCCAATGTTTGATTAAAAGAGCGGCATGATATCCAATTACAAAGAATAAATGACAAATTACTGAAATCAAATCTTCTTTTTTTTAAAGTTATATCCAAATTGCCAGCAAGGCTCGATGACCATTCCATAACTCCCAACAATATTTTGAGGCTCAAAGTGCCACCTGACAATCACACAATATGAAATGTCTCTATTGCACTGTGACGTGGCTGCAAACACAACCCTCACTTACATTTTGTTTCTTTTTCAACCACTCACTCTTTTCCAGTCTGCAAAAAGAAAGTCCATGACGAGAAAGTGCCACATTTGTAAGTTAACATATCTCACATTAACAAATCAAACTCTTTATTTTTAAATGAAAGTGTCAGTGTACTATTTTAAATAACTTGAAAATGAAGAAACGCGTGTCTGTGCAGTGTGTGTCACATCAGTGCCAATGGGTTAGGGGATATTTTGTGTAATTTCCTATGGAGAAACGTTTTCATTTCTCCCCGCTCCTTTAAGAGGCCATTCCAGTGCAGGTCAAAGAGCCTGCTGGGGCAGTAGTATATGTTATGTTTGGAGTAATAATGACTGAGGATCTAATTGTGCAGTTCCTAAAACAGAAAGCAAATAAATGGTGTCTTCAATATCAGATGACAAAAGTGCCCAGATGAAGACAAAAATAGATATGAACAAATGAAAGAATAAAGTAGAACAGAAGAACACGCTGCAGGGCACCAGAGCAGAGAGGGCACTTCTTGAGACTCAGTTACCTTTCTGGCAACCTGACCTTTTTTTTTTTTAAACCTTTTCTCAAACCTTTTTTTTGTTTTTATATATGTCTTTTTTTACTTTAAATGTTGGTTGGTTTAATCGGAAGAGAGCCTCTTCAAGACCCGATTCCCTCCACCATTTACTAGGTCTGCAGTGAGCAGTGGAAGAGTTCAAACTGGTCTCTTTGACGTACTCAGAGGCTGCTATCAGCGTCCCATTCAGTCCTGCAGTCACTTAAACACTTCCATTTGGAAGTAAACCAGAACAGCATTAAATGCCACAGCCCAATTCTTCCAGTTTCTCCTTTACAGCCAATATGTTCTTTCCATTTTAAATACCCTAGAAGTACCAAATCCTGGAACCACATTCGAGGATTTCGTAGAAAAACAACACCACCATGAATAATTGTTACCCTTTGACCCCCTCCACTCTAGGCACAGAGTCTGTAAGAAGTGCTGAGACACAATACATTTTAGCACAGAGAGAAATACAACTGTCTCCCAGCTGTCCCATCCACAACCGAGGCAAGGGCAGAGCATGGTGTGATAGGGTAGGCAGAAGGAAAGGGGCTGTGTTGGCCAGTAGCGGGAGGCAAGCCATGGGCTGGGCTTCAGTTGGCTGGTTAGCTTAGCTCAGCTAGCCGCAGCTCGGGCCATCAGGTCCTCTAAAGCCTTGTCCTGATCGTTGTTGTGGACCAGCAGAACTTCTTTGATGGCATCTCGTTCAAACCCCATTTCACCAAATCTTGACATGAGCTCAAGAAACTGAAGGGCCTGAAAGGATAAAAATAATAAGAATAATAATAATAAGATCTATTCATAGATGTAGAAGCATTGCTTATATAAAAACTTTAGTTTGTTTTTGTAACCCCGGTTTTTGGAGTCGCGAGATGTCTCACTATGGGATACTTTCCTCCCACGTATTCACAGAAGCACTACACCACTATGCCAGCCCTGAATGTGCCAGCAGGAGCCACGACATCCAGTCTGCGAGCAGTTAAGTTAGTTAGCCGTGATACAGGTAAGGTAAGGCAGGCTTCTGTAGCAAGAAGAGGTGTTTGAATGACGAGTGACACTGCATCAGAGTTATATATGGATAGGGGCCCTGACACAGCCACACAGGGCTGGCATAGTGGTTCTGTGTATAAGCGCAAGGGGCGTATCCCATAGTGAGACATCGAAAGGAACGCTGTGAAAGAGAATCAAATACTGTTTTATACCTTCCAATGATTTGAGCTACTAACATATTGAAACATGCTTTTAAGAGTGTACGGTTACTTTAATGGCAAACTTAACAAACCTTTTCCTCAGAACACTGGTACATCTCTAAACACTCCTCCACTGCACTTGCATCGAAGCCCCGCTCACACAGACGTCCATGGACAAACAGATAGTCCAGCACCTTAGACGAATAATAAGTACATGTTTATTATGTTGATTTGGCTTCAAAGAGCCATCACATAAAAGACTCTTAGAAACCTGTATGAGGTTTCATGATTTAGTCTAAGAAAACAATTAGAGGTGAATTTGTGGTTGAACTAAATTTATGCTCCGTAAGGTTTGTTTATCGCCCATATCACACTGTATGGGTCATAGTTTGAAACCAGCTTGTACAAAGGAAATCTTGCATATCAACTCCATATAATCTTTACATTGTGAATATATTTTCCCACATGTATTACTGTAAGAGTGGGTAGGTCATGTTCTGTAGGATTATCTGTTACATATAAGATCCCAGAATGTGTTAATAATCAATTTTATTTCAATTTAAGATTATTATATTTTTTACAGAATGGAAGCATCACTGACTGAACACAATTACACAAGCACATAAACAATGATCTATTTTGTATGTCAGGATGGTGAATAAATCAAAACTTCAGATTTCTGTGCATTGGTGTGAGGGGGAGTGGCACCTGCTCCACGTTCTGCCCTTGTCTCTGCATGGCCCGTAGTACACCCTCATACGAGTAGCCCATGCCCACAAGGGTTTCCACACATTGGCGCTCGCTGGGGGTCATGCTGAGAAGGGCCCCACCACACGGCAGACAAGCTGACCCTGATCCTGGGTAAGCCTAGTATGAAAACATGAGTGGGTGTTAATAAGGTTCTTGAGATTCTTTATTTACAATCACATGCTGGTACCTCTGTACACTATTGAGCATTGTGTAAAATATAATGTGATGCTCACCGGTTTTGGTGCGCCACTCTTGACATGGCCTTGAGGCTCAGGGGCAACAATAACTTGGGTTTTGGGTATGGTCGGCGGGCTGCCGTTTGGAAGGTTCTGTCGGGAAGTGGGGATGGGTGCAGGGAGTGGGCTATACCTCACTGGCTCTGGGTCACCAGAGTCAGTGAGCTTTGGAAAAGTGAGAGAGCGGATATTGCAGGGTCGATCATCCGTGTCAAACCCTGTTCTCCCAGGATGCCCAACTCTGTCCATGTCCAGCAAGGCAACCAACCCATTGGGTTTATGTGCAAAGCCAGGTTTGGCTGTGAGGCTGGTGTTGGTGCTAGGAGGGGACGGGCTGTTTCCACGCGACTCAGGCCCCCTCTGGGAAACCTCTGGTTGGGATACAGAGGGAGGCGGTTGAGGTTGAGGCTGGGGCTGGCTCTGGAGGATGCTCCTGAGCTCCTCCTTATCGTCCAAAGTTTTGAGCTCAAGCTTGTCAAAGGGGTCCTCCTCACGCTCAAAGTCAGCTAGGTTGAGACAGTGCTGCTGGGTAGTGCTTGGCGGGATTTTCCTTGGGCCAAGGCTTGCGGCAGGCAGTGGAGTGAGGATGTCATTATGGCTCAGCCCCGCCAGGACGGGGTTCAATGCTGGTGGTAGAAGGTCTTGGTCCTCTGCAGCAGGCTTGGTTTTCCTGCCTTCACTACCATCAATGTCCTTGGCCTGCGCCAAGCGGTCCCTGCTCTCTGCCTCCTGCTTGGCTGCTGCCTCTTCTGCTCTGGCCTCTGCTCGTCTGGCCTCAGCCAATTCAACCCCCCAGCGCACACTACGCCTCTCCAGAGTAAAGTCATACTGTCAAGACCACAGTAATAGGAAGAATTGGAGGTAATGGGAAGAGAGGGAACAAAAAGGAACAGAGAAAAGGAGGAACATTTAAGAATATAAAAGCCACAAAATTTTACAACTCCTGCTTAACAGATAAACCATTTAAATAACTTGTATCACTAATTTGAATAAACTCAAAATCAGACATATATATATAAAAAACGGTAAAGTTACATATACTTTTGATCAGACATGTTAAAGTATTTTTGTACAAAACTGTCTTTCGACTACACCTCTCCATATAAATCACTTTAAGCTACAGTGACACAAAAAAAAAGATACCTCCTCTTTGGTGTCCAGCATGACTACACATGCCACAAAATGGTACATTAATGCAGAATGACAGAGGGCAGGGCCCATAATGATCAGTGCCAGAAAATTATAGATCAGCACAGTAAATCCATGCCATCCATTACTCCAAGAGTAAATTTAGCTCAGCAAAGTCAACATCACACCTGTAACTTACTAACCTGTGTGTCCACCAGTAATGAGCCGCAGTCTGGTAGACAGAAACCAACAGGCAGTCCTACTTTGGCCGGGCAGCGGAACTTGTCGTTGATCTTGAAGGGAACATCTTCAAGGTAGCTGATGGGTCCTTTTTACAGGAGAAAAAAAGGTTAACACTGAAAAAATAGACACTGGGATGACAGGCACAAGTAGACATTCCTTCGAACCCAAAACTTAACCCAGAGTAGGGATGGGCAACTAGCCGCTCGCTGTCTCATCCAATACAGCCTGCACGTTTATTTCCAATAATCAATCAACTGTTGTAAACATGAATTTACAGTGAATTTGACCCCGTTTTAACTTGGAGGGCTCTCACTTTAAAAGCCAGGTTTACTTACAAGCAGGCATGTTTCTATCTACACAGCGGAGCTCAGCTATTATTTTTGATGGACTGTACTGACAGACATATTTAAAGTATCTCCTTCCATTGCCCCCCTGTTCCCACAGAACACACACAGGCCACTGTAAGAAATATTTCAATGCACTTATTGATGTTATAAGTCCTCCGACAAAGGAATGCCACTGCACAGAAAAAACAAAAGTGTGATTTGGAATTACGACAGTCTTATGTATGAAGAAAGGATTGATCAACATTCCTGTGCATAAACATCAAATAAAGGTATGATGCTTAGTTTAATTGGCTTATTTATTGCTTCTGGATCAAATGGCTATACTCTGTGCTGCATGTGTGATGGGCATGCCACCATGCACAGTGTGCTAATAGTAGTAATTGAGGGCGTATGAGTATGTGTCTGTTTGAGTGTCTGTCTATGTTTTAGTCTGAGACTGTGAATCAGAGTATGGTGCTGCTCCTGGTCTAGGGATGAGGTAAAGCAGCTGTGTGGGGAGGTAGGACTTAGACCATTCTCGTCTTTCCTCCCTAGACTGGCCTCATATCAAAAAACAGTAAATGTAAGGAGGGAAACAAAAGCTTGCAGACTCCCCAGCTCTATGATCCATAAACATTTACATTTCCCTGCATCAGCAAATGGGCTGCTATTTCCTTGTGAGCAAAAGCGCCATGCTGCATGTTGCCAGGTGTACCATGCAGAGAAACGTGCGTCACATGGGCTGTAAGATAGGGTTTAGTGTGGCTGGACACAAAACATTCCATGAAGGATATCATCCTCAGCTAACATTAGAACAACATTCACAGACCAAAAACACACAGTGGTTTACTGTATGCTTTGTCAAGAAATAAGTACATATCATTGGTGTAATTGTTTCTGTGTAAAGCTAGTCTTAAGGGTCTCACCATTGTTGTATGCGTCTGATCCAGACTTCCTTTCAGCCATTTAGAGACTCCTACAACACACAAGAGCAAAACCAGGTGTAAAGTAAACAGAGGGGGTTTCCACTATTCTTAAAATAACAGAGTCATTTGTTTTTGAGCCATAAAAAGAATAAAATTCAACACACATGTATGTTAAAAAATGGCTACATCAGTTTGAAAAGGCCCTCGTTCACAGAGCTGACATACTGCTCTAGAAGAAACTGTTTAAATCTAAACATGATAAAAGTAACACTTTATAACATAGTTCAAATTCACTGCTCAATCCTATTCCCAATACGTAAATGGATTTGAGCCATTTTGCAGTTGAACTCATAAAATCCTTTTACTTGGTCAAGCAGTACAACAATGCCTGACATTATAAACACAGAGAAGCCACTGTTCTCACATCCGCTGAACAGCAGCACTTTGATCTGTATGCTGCCGTGGACCGATATTCACTAGAAAAAGTGATATATTTGATTAACTTTCACAATTTAAAAGGGATCATGTTTGTACTTAACATATCACTCTTTTCTTTACGGTACTTTGTCTTCGCACGATACTATTTTATTCCTTGTCATTTATTTTTCACATATATTTTACATTTTTGAGTAACTCTTATTTTTCTGCAGTAATCATCAAATAATCTGACACTGGAAATTCTTTCAGGATTGATTTAAAATGTATTTTCTTATTTCAAATAAACCTTGAATCACACAGGTCACTGCTAATATACGATCAGTGCTTACACCACAGTAACTATGGACATGGACATTAAAGTCTTAAGATCAGCGTGCATTTCCACAGAGCAAACATCACAAATGAAATGTATGGTAGATTTAGGCTTGGATCCACATTGACAAAGCAGGATTTTTATTTTTTCCCAAATAGGTCAGAATTGGGTAACTAAGACATTCAATAGGCAACCCATGATCATATAGTATTATGCTTTATGCTCTGTGTCAGTGTAGTTTCTCTGCACATTTACACAGCTTTAATATGACTTAAGACATTCACTGACATCTACAGACTAACCACTCAACATGTAACTGTAAAAATAAAGTGATATTTAAGTTATAGTGAACATTGTTTTATAGATAACCAAAGATATACCTAGAACTGTCTACTCATGACATTAAACAAGTAAAAAGCAGCAGTATTAATAAACACGGTTTTAAACTCAACAATTTTATTCATCAAAGTACTGCCAAATATTTCCAGGATTAATCATCAAATCACTCGTTGTCCAGACAATCACCAAAGACTGTGAATCAACCCACAGTAATTTAACTAGAAAAGCAGCAATTCAATTTACTTCACTGTCAGGAAACTAATAACTAACACGTCATATATTTTAGACGTGAAGGCAACTGTTAACTCTGCAGACCCACCAACTATCTGTCTGCTTCGTTTAGTCTAAAACAGAAAGAGCTAAGAAAAGAAAACAGCAACAATGAAGAGATAAATGTCCTGCCTTCAAGAAACTGGACAGACGTGTTAGGCATTATTGCTTTAAAACTGGATGCATCCGATACACCTGTGATCAAAATAGTGTTAATTCATTTTCATTCTGAAGATAAACCGATTAATCGACATAATGTTGCAGCTCAATAACACACAGTAATCTGCCAAATATTTGCAGAGTGATCTGTTATTTGATATGACCATTATGCAGGTTACCTTTCATTTATAACCACGAAGAAACTCTTCATTTCTATCAGGTTGTTTTATCACAAAACCTGACACAGACTGCTCTCTGTCTAATCATGTGTGGAAATGTGCTACACGTGATCAGGGAGCATCTTGTGATCACAAGGAATCTTCCAATACAAACTGTGTAACTTTGATTTGTTTTAGAAGAATCACCTACCACACAGTTGTTACCTTCTAACACTTCAATGAGCCCTAGTAGCTGATGTGTCAAATCCCAATCACAACAACTTATTGTTTTCTGTAGCTAAAGTTATTAACGTCATTAATGTTACCCACAGTAAGAGTAGAGTTAAGTCAGATTAATATCATCATTCTAGTTATCAGCAACAAATACAACACGTCATCAAGTTGTTCATTATTATGGTTGTAAATTGGTTATCTTATTTAGCTGATATATGAAAACGAAAGGATCGCTACATTATTCGCATTTAAAGAAGGTTCGAGTTGAATTGTCTAATTGCAAGGCTTTTGGACGACATAGACTATAGATTGAGATTCCCAGTCAAGAATGATATAGTTATTAACACTGACGAAGTGATACCGTCAATTAGCAACAAGCTAAGCTATTACTATCTTTGGTGAGTCCTAGCTCAACACGCTAACAGCAAACATCCAGTGACACTTTGTCATCAGCGTCAAGGACTACATTTTTAGAGTTTTTCTGAGTATTTGGATCGAGTAACTAATTCATGGACATTTCCCACTAGTGACCGGATGATTTGTACTGGATAAATAGGCTTCATTTCGCCAGTGGCCTGTCTGTAACGTTATGTATGTGGACAGGACAGACCGCTGTCTGTGCTGCCACCGCCCCTGAAACAAGACTCAGCTCGATAGAAAAACAAACTTATCACACCTGTATCTGCTCCGTCTTGTTCCTTCAAATTCCAACTAGCGTCTCGACGAGGCGGCACTCAAAATTAAACTTATCTCCGAATGAGTTTTATTTATACTGACATCTCTTTCCTGCTTCAGCGTGGGGCGCCATCTTGATTTGTCAAGCTCCCTTCCACTGGTTCCTGTCTGACGTCACTCCCCTACATGACGTAGAGCACAACAATTTAATGCTGAGGCAGAGACACGCCTTACAATGTTTGGGTTTTTGGGAACAATTTTAAGAACCTAATTATGTTTTATAAGGATGGCAGCAGGCGTACCCCATGGATGTTCTAATTCTTGTTTTGCTTTGTTCCTTTTTTTATTTGTATGGCTGAACTTTAAGCCCATCTTACAATCTTTTATTTCCGTATTTTTTATTTCAACAGTGACATATGAATGAAACATCTCTCCGATGACACGGTCAAGTTTCTCAGAGATAAATCAATGACAAAGTGCATTGCATGTTATGTGTTAATTTTCAGAAGCCTCAGGCCTCAAGCCCAACATTAACAACATGTAATGTTTAGGCCTATAACAGACTTCTTCATTCTATATATTTATTATATTATTATATTAGTCTATATTATATAACATTTAATTATATTACACTATATTGTTCATATTGCACTATATTATTACATTATATTATATAACTGCAATCTGCATTACTGTGGTACAACACTGCCTCTCTTCTCTGCTGTTTTTACATTACTTGCTGCTATTTATCATACCAAGTCACTTTAATCATCACTTGTCACTTTATCTTGTCATTCTCTGCAAATACTGTCTCAATTCCCTGCATAGTTAACTTCATCATTCATTTTGTACTTGTATATGCCCCCTGTTTTTATTTTTATTTATCTTATCTATTCTGTTTAATGTGTATTTTGAGCTTTCTTGTCTGTGCTGCTGCAACGCCCGAATTTCACCTCTGGGGATCAATAAAGTATTATCCTATCCTAGACTTGAAAAGGTTACATACAGTATATCTGAATTCAGAGGCATATAGTTCAAAAGATATGAATCAGACAGCAAATATTTGCTACCTAAAATCAAAAGAAGTCAATCCCTAACATTTGGCTCCAGAGAAACGTTCCCTTTTTTGGGAGAGTGCTGTTGATAAAGCCTGAAGTTTGTTACTTTTTCTATCATACTCTATCACTTCTGGTTAATGATGTGTACTGCAAAAAAAATAATAATAATATTGAAAATAAGAAGAAAGTTTATTTTTTTACTAATGCTGACTAAACCTGTTTTTATAAGTAATGTGGTTGGCTTATTATTATTGTCACTGGTACTGATGTTATGGCTGCAGTTATTAAGGCTATGTCCACTAAAGATCAAGGACCGTTATTGTACATTAACAACCAAGGACAGATGGGTGCCGATGGGATGACAGTTTGTTTTGTTTTTTGTTTGTTATGTTTTTTGATTGTATTTGTTTGGTGGGCATTGTATGGATATTTTGTCATGTCATGTTTTCAAAAAAAAAATAAAAAAAATGTTAATCACAAAAATAAAATAAGAAGAAAGTAAGTATACATTTTTCAGGTGGGTCTATTTGACTCCAAAAGTGCTTAAATAGTAATAAGAAACACATTTGTGAAAATGTCCCTTTTCTCTCTTTCATCGTCGAGTACGCGCACGTCACGTTTAGACCTGTACGTGCTTTACGTTCTTCAGACACGCGCAATGATAGCCGGAAGCACCGATGGGAGGAAAATAAAAATCGATGAAATCCACTGTAATTCGTGAGTGTAAACCTCTCACTTGCTGTCCTTTTCGCGAACGTAGGCTCGAATATATCAGTCTTTTACACTGCCACGCTGCTGGAGGGGACGGCGGGCTGCAGAAAAGCTGCTCCAATTGAACGAAGTTGCTCGGTAGGGGTTTAGCTGACGTGTGGAGAAGTTGAGACTGCCAGAGAGCAGATAAACAAACATAAACAAGCAGGGATCAGCTGAGCGCCTGTCCGAACCGAACCAGCAGCACGGAGGGATGTCCAGGAGGACGAGTTTCCTCTTTTGAGCCCAAGAATGATCCACAGGACACCGTGATTTATCCAGATACTAGCTCCATGTCAAGTGTCAACACTGGCACACAAAGAATTTGGGAAACACAACACGAGGAGCAGCCGTACCTTTAGCAGAAAATCCACTGCTCCTACACTCTCTTTGACAAGACATAGCTAGGCTAGCATGGACAACAAATGAGTATACCTTCCTGTTTTCAGCCGTAACGAAACAAATACATATAACAGTGCGAGGAGACAGAGGTAAATACTTTATATTAACTTTGTTTGTTTTTTCCTATAAGGGCCTGCGAATCAAAACATTGACCAATGCTAGCTTGGCAGGCCACATATCATGTTTGTAGTAGATTTATTTTACTTGTTGAGTTTACCACCAGGACATTTATCTCTTCATTGTTGCTGTTTTCTTTTCTTAGCTCTTTCTGTTTTAGACTAAACGAAGCAGACAGATAGTTGGTGGGGCTGCAGGGTCAACAGTTGCCTTCACATCTAAAATATATGACGTGTTAGTTGGTAGTTTCCTGACATATTCCCCTACCTTTCACCGGTCTGTGACCACTTGTGCCAGACTTGGAATGAACATGGCCCACCAGGCTACCCCTAGTTCCCAGAAGGCCCTGATGATGGAGCTGAAGTCTCTGCAGGAGCAGCCGGTGGAGGGTTTCCGCATCACTCTGGTGGAGGAGTCTGATCTCTACAACTGGGAAGTGGCCATCTTCGGACCCCCAAACACCCTGTATGAGGGAGGCTACTTTAAGGTGGGGATCATAATACATGTTGTGTTATCAAAAAGTGCATGGCAAAGAGTTCAGACAATGAGACATGTTTATGAAGCTAGTATATGTTCATTAGTAGGTTATGTGTGTGCTTATACAGTGCAACTGTGCTGCTGGGTATTTAACATCCCTAAGGTGGATATATAGGAGATTGAAGCCATTTGGAAAACAGCCAGGTAGTTCAGTGACACTGACGCTGTTTGAACCCTGACTGTCAGATCAGGTCAAATCCTCTATATCTATAATGCAACAATGACCTGGATCACTTCACCTCTTCTAAGGTTTGTTTTTGTTTATATAGTTTTGACATGTTTTCAGGCAGCCTTTTATCTTCCTAGAACCTTTATTTTCCCTCCCCTGTCCATCCATTCTCCTTGTCCAGCCTCCCCCCCCCTTGCTGTATGATGGTTGTGCTTCAGATGGCTATTTTTAGCTGTGAGACCGATATAAATGGCACCTCAGCACAGAGCAAGAGTAAGAGAGAAGGGCAAGATAGGACTGATCTTGCTGTTCTTTCATGGTACTTATACAGTGAAACGTCTAGAAACACAGTACAGCGAGAGCCCGCATTCAAGTTTGGGTAATGCATATGACTCTGCGGCTTTCGAGGAATTCAAAAGTAATACAGAGTAGGCCTGGTTGTTGTCAATAGTTCAAATGAACATTGTTTATGTCACTGTGCTTTGCCTTTACAGTGACAGGCGACATCTATTGTCAAGTCAGATTAATTTTATCTTCATAGCCTTGAATCACAAGTTATTTTCCGGCCTTTTGTCCCAATCTGCACATCATATTAAAGTCCTCTATTCTTATACCCTGCTGTTGAATAAGAAAGACTCCCCACACATAAACAGACTGACAGTGGTAGAGATGTAAGAGCACCAGAGGGAGCACAACTCTTTCAGGACAGCCTTTTTTTAAAAATAAAAAACATTTATTTATCCAGGTCATTTAATTTTATCTCAAAAGAGACATGGTTAAGACAACTTCAGCTCTGCTACACAAACTTACAGACGGACAGAACAAGCAGTACACTGACACAGTAGATAATATAAATCATAATAATATAATCATAAATCCTAAAAACAAGAAGTGCAAAATTGACAAGTGGCAAACAGATTTGCGTAGCTGGAGTTTCTAATCATCATGTCAATAAAGATTAGGGGGGTTTGGTCATTCCAGTGGCTCTTATACACAATGTAGAAGTGTTCATAAATAAATAGTATATTTATAGTTTAAAATATGAATTTGAATGGAATGAGAAAAAATAATGTGCAGAGTGTCTAAAGAAATAATAGGCTATGTTTAATCACAGGGTTACAGACAGATTGCACAGTTAAAGTAACATAGCAGTCAGAAATAAGAATATAAAAAGAGATATTCATGTGAAATAAAGGGGCATTTTAAGAATTACTATGTACAAAAAGTGCTGAGTGTTTCTGAGATAAGATAATATTTAGAAAAACTGAAGTGTTGAACAGTAAACATTTCATAGAGCCTGCAGCACCTTTTAGCTTATACTAACTAAAAAAATGATCAAATTTCAATGACAGATTTGTTGAATGTAGTGTACTAAAGAAAGGAATGAAAGCCTGTTATACTTAGGTAAGGGTGTGATTGTCAAACATTTAATGAAGGACATTGACTCATGTAACTTTGGCTCATGTTGGGCAGATCAGTGACATAATGAACCATTTATTATCAAGTATTCGGGATAAGACTTTCCTTATGACATCTGTGTTTGTAATGTCTCAAGGCTGCACCAGTGTGAAAGCGGGTCTTGGAGTATTGATAGTCCTATCTGAGTGGCAGCAGGTCACTGAGAGCTGGGGTGGTGTTACACACACCCAAGCCTTTCACCTAGATAATTGTGCAACACTTTTGGAAAGAAAATACAGAAACAGGAGCCCATGTGGAGCTTCAGTGAAATCCAATAAAACATGATTTAAGAAAGCACAGATGATAGCTGCCTTCCTGTGTGCTAAATGTAAGAGATATTTCTCTTTAATACTTGATATAAAATATAAATCTATGCAGTTACTTTGTCGTTAAATACTTGGTCATATTGTGAGGCCAGACGAGTCAACAAGGAGAGTTTGTTTTAAATGCTACTCACTGTAACTTAAACAGGAAATGATGTTATGTCACTGTAGCCTGGAAGTATTAACATTATGACAAGCTGAAATCAGCTCTGCTTAATCTTTTGCTTCCTGAATTGTAGCTTTGTAACGACGTTCATCTCTTTGAGATACCTGCTAAATGTTTTTGTTTCACTTACAGTGAAAGTACAGAAGTAGAGTTTTTTTTTTTTTTTCAAATTCAACATTGCACAAACATGTTTCAATGGGCCACAAGCAGCTTCAAAATATAGACCCCTACTTTTTAAAATACTTTATTCTTTCAAGATGATGCAGTTTACCAGTGGTCGACCGATATTCACCATTGGACCGATTATCTGTACCTGCGTTTCAATCGCTTATGTTAATAAATTAAAAAGTGTGCTACTTTGACTTTGCTCTAGTTGTGACTTTCCCTCTGGGTCTGTTTTCAATCACCACTATGTCTCATCTAATTTCTCACCCACAACATTTTCTGATTGGCTAGATGTCACACGAGTAATAGCCAGTCAACACTGAAGCCCGGCTGCCACCGACATGCACAGAGACAAAGGCAGGAGAGTCTGAGGTTGAGCGTTTAAACAAAGTCTTGTCCTGGAGTTTGGAATATTCCAAATTCTAAATTTGGACAGAGAAAGATTTTCCTTTTTACTGTAAATGCATATCAGTTCAAAATATCAGTTATCGGCCCTGAAAACCAATATCGGTCGACTTTACATTTTACAATTCATACCATCCAAGGTTTATAATAAATCTTTTAAATAGTGAGCTTAGAAAGCAACAAGGACACGAAACAAAATGTACTAAAAGAGCAACAAAAGCAGTACAAATGATTATTAAATACATATATAAATAAAGAAGAAAAAAGGTGGGGGTAAACCTACACATATATTCATACAAAACATATATTCATACCCACATAGATATTCATAGACACAAATATATCTTCATATGAGTACATACATTTTATTCTCTTAACACACACACACACACAGATCTTAGGTAGTGTCCCATTCAGACAAGCAGTAGGTGTGTGTATTTTTACATCCTGAATCATACTATCCATTTAATTAAACCTTGTTTTTTTAGTTTCCAACTTTTAGTTATTTACTTTATTGATGTGAAGAAGATAAAGAATTGTTCATCTCAACCCAAGACCAACTGGTGGTTTTACAAGTATGACTCATGTACTCATACAGTTGTTTTTGTTCATTTTTTTCCCTCTACAAACAAAGTTTTCTGACCTAAACAGGTTCAATAGATAACATGAGTGAAAAATGTGTAAATGATTTCAAATCGTCTCCTCACTTTCTCCCTGTGGTCTCTGCGGGGACCAACAGGCTCAAAGGACATAAACCGGGCACGTTCCAGCTCGACTGTGTGTGAAGCGTGTGTTGACTGTGACCCCCTGTTTGTCCTCATAGGCTCACATCAAGTTCCCAGTTGACTACCCGTACTCCCCGCCAACCTTTCGCTTCCTCACAAAGATGTGGCACCCCAACATCTACGAGGTAATACATTTGTGTGTTTTGACAGTCTCTTACTATATGCATGTTATCCAGACATTAAACAGCGTATTATGTTGACTTTGCAGAACGGAGATGTGTGCATCTCCATTCTGCATCCTCCTGTGGATGACCCTCAGAGCGGGGAGTTACCCTCTGAGAGATGGAACCCCACCCAGAATGTCAGGTAACGTTTGCCACACTACCTTGTGCATTTAAATCCATTTCACAATTTAGACATTCTGTATTTTATTCTCTTATTCAATTTTCATATTCATTTAAGCAACGGTTTTTAAATACAGTGTGCACTCACATAGTAAAATGAGCTCTGTATCTCTTTTTGTTCTTGTTAATAGCATGAAGGATAAGAAATCTGAGCCTGTGCGGCCTTTTGCGATGTCACCAACTCAATTCCCTGTCTCCCTCTTATATCTAATAAAAGCCAAAAATGACAAAAAAAGATCTTTAAAAAAAGGAAAGAAAGAAGCGTAGAATAGAAGAGCTGCCCAAAGGAGCACACAGTAACTCATGTATAGTCTATACAGTGCAAGGTTTTAGCTTTCCTTTGTTCTGAGTTACATTTTAAGAACAAGATTCAGCTGCAGGGTATACGTATCTCAGAATTTCTTTTTAGATTCAAAACATCAGCACATCAGCTTTTTGTAGTGGACTAGGTGTGAAGTGCTGAGGCTGTGTTTGAAGAACTTGTCCAGATTGTGTGCTGGGTGTAATGAAGCCACAAGGGGAAAGAGGCGTGTTAACGCCTTCATCTAGGCTGGGATGAAGCTCACAGCAGTTAAAAAAAAAACCCCAACAATCCTTCATAGAGCTTTTCTTTCATACAATGTCAGGACCTGATATTGGAGTGTTCTCATTGTCTTTCTGCCTGTTTTCACCATCAGGACTATCCTGCTTAGTGTGATCTCTCTGCTCAATGAGCCCAACACCTTCTCCCCGGCCAATGTGGATGCATCTGTCATGTTTCGTAAATGGAGGGACAGCAAAGGCAAGGACAAGGAGTATGCAGAGATCATCAGGTATTTAGACTCTTTTTTTGATATAATCTCTTACAACATTAACTGTATTTCTACTTAGTTCATTAAAAAACAAAAAGAATGTAACCGACACTGACTTTTGGTTTCTTGTTTGGCCCTCAGGAAGCAAGTGCTGGCCACAGCGGCGGAGGCTGAACGCGACGGCGTCAAAGTGCCGACCACGTTAGCCGAGTACTGCGTCCAGACCAGGGTCCCCTCTCAGGACAGTAGTTCAGACCTCCTCTATGACGACCTCTATGACGACGACATGGAGGAGGAGGACGAGGACGAAGACGAGAGTGATATGGAGTCCGTGGGCGAGGCTGGGGGGATCAGCGCTGCGGAAGACGGCGAGATGTCCACCAGACGGTATGACAACCAGGATGACTCTGGAAATGAAGACTCATGATGATCTGAGTGATTACTCCTCCCTGCCAACCCCCCCCCCCCAACCCACCAACATCCCCTTTTGTTTTATGTGTTTCGTTGTGTGTGTGTGTGTGTGTGTGTGTGTGTGTGTGTGTGTGTGTGTGTGTGTGTGTGTGTGTGTGTGTGTGTGTGTGTGTGTGTGTGTGTGTGTGTGTGTGTGTGTGTGTGTGTGTGTGTGTGTGTGTGTGTGTGTGTGTGTGTGTGTGTGTGTGTGTGTGTGTGTGTGTGTGTGTGTGTGTGTGTGTGTGTGTGTGTGTGTGTGTGTGTGTGTGTGTGTGTGTGTGTGTGTGTGTGTGTGTGTGTGTGTGTGTGTGTGTGTGTGTGTGTGTGTGTGTGTGCAGTGGGGTCAGAGGTCTACTGCCAAAGAACTTTTCATCATTTATTAAACCTATACAAATGATTGTTGAAATAGTGGTTCTCAGATACTATTGATTAGGTCAGTTTCTACTGTTTTCACTGAAAGTTAGCATTAGATGTTTCCACCGTCTGCCTTAATTACAGCGTGCACTCTGTCCAGCATCAGATGTTTTCCAGAATTAAAGAGAATTGAAATGATTCCAGCACTGATCGAGGGAAACACCAAAGTCATTTTGGTTGTTCTTTCTATATTTTCTCGTTTTTTAAACGATCCTATTGCGGAAGTTGATGATCTGCATCGTTACTACAAATAATGATGCTTTTCACTCAGTGTGGGATCACTCCCGTTCTAGTAACAGACTCCACTCATGATTAAACACACCAGACAAACAACACTGCCATCGCTGCTTTCCTTTTCTAGTTTTTAAACCCTATTGTATTTCTTTATCATCAACTAAATCAAATACAACACGACTCTTTGAATGCTAAGCGTGCACATTTCAGCATTCTTCAACCCATGCTGAACCATTAGGCTTGTTTTGCAGGAAAAGAAAAGGTTTGGCAACTGCTTCACATTGTTGCAGTATGGACTGTCTTTGTTTTGTTGTCTTTATACCATGGTGCCATCTCTAGATGTGTCTGGTTACTGATCCTGCCCTTTGAAGCCAAGGCCTTTTTTCATTTTGATTCATTACGACTCATAACAGTACTCGTAATGCTTAAGTAACGGTCACTTTATTATTAAAGGACATGTGACACTCCCCCCCCCAAAAAAAATATACCAGGATTGAAGATATCCATAGACATTTCCCAAAGAGAATATTTCCCCACTGGTCATACTATGATTGAAAAACAAAATGTCTTAGGTTTTGATAAGTGATGAAAACAACTGTCCCTGTGGTGGTCTCTTGGTCTCCACTGTAGCTGTGTCAAATGGTTTTGGCTCTATCCTAACATCTTTACCTGTTGCTGTTTTTTTTGTACCTTTTTTGTGTCGTCGGTCAACATTTGTGAGTGGGGGGTTGGGGGGGAGTCAGACTAATGGACAATGTTGCTGTTTGGCTCATTAACCACCCGATGAGCTCTCGAGCTTCGTGTCCTCTGTCCCCCTCACGCCTGTCTGTTCAACTTTGATGCAATCAACGTGTAACGTACAAACACAGGCTCCGCTGTGACTCCAGCCTCCTGGACGTACAATCAGAAGTGTTCATCATATAAACGCTCCCTCGTGATTACTGAAAGCAACGTCGTTTTGGGCGCGGGGGGTGAACAAGGTTTAGACCTTTTTCTTGAAGTCGCCTCCTACACCTCTCTCTGCCTCTTAAACCTCAGGGCCTCAAACAGACTTTCACTGAGAGACAACAAACAAACAAAAAACAGTCAAAGAAAAACTTCAAAACATGAAACTGCTCCTCACCTTCACCTTCTTTTCTTACTTTCTGGATGCTTCTAGAGGGCAGAGTGGACTGAAAGTCTCCTATCCCATGACTGAGTGATGCTGCTGGTCCTGATTCAGGTCCTTTAAGATGTTTTCTTCCTGAAAGGCTAGAGTCCAATTTAGAACAATTTAAAAACAAAAAAAAAAAAAAAACAACACCTGTGATGCATAGCTCTTCAAGACAATTGCTGACATCATGTTGCGATAGATGTGAAAAAGTTTTGGTGCTGTGACTCCAATTTGGGCTTCAAAACAGATGTGGGAAAAACTGGACATTGTTACTGTGCTACTCCACATCCAGAATCTGTTAATCTCCATGCAGCTTAGCTACACATTTGCATTTGAATGAATATGACACTGATTGCCTGCTATTTTTTGTGTGTCTGTGCGTGTTTGTATTTACTTTCACTTTTCATCTTTATCTAGTTTTTTTTCCCTTGTTGTTCCTGTCTCTTTGGAACCGGTGTAGACTTCTGTCACGAGTGAGTTATTCCCAAATGACCTTTGTCGACTTTGTCCAGTTGAGAAAACATTCAGAGTGTTTGCACTGTTGGCTGTTTTGGGGAGGCCTGAATGGCCTGGGGATTTGAATGATTAAGAAAAACACCTTCTGAGTATTAAAACTTTGAACACACTGAATGACAAAAATGTGACTAATGTTTGCTTGCAAGACATCAAGTTGTTGACACATTTTTTTTTAAACTGTGTTTGATGGTCGTGGGCTTGAATCTGTTTGTCCTTTTCAACACAACAGAGCGCTGCGCAAACTTTTTATTCAAATTGATGGATTTTAATGCCAAGGAAACCAAGTAAGGGCCACAAGCATTCTTTTTTAAGGACAATGGAGGATTGGATGCCTGTAGTGGATTTCATCTGTTTGAATAAACTCTTGAAGAGATTCCTTTTGGATTTAATGTGAAGCCAAAGGAGTGAAACATTTCCTCCTGGGCCCCCGTGCTTTGGAGGCTCACAGAGACTGTGTTATGTCCATGACAGGAGAGGAAGTCCACTCTTATACTGGATCTTTCATGGATTTGTAATCAAGGCACATCTGGAGGCAGATAAGAGACCAGAGATTCTGAACTTTTCTTGTCGTGGTCCCCCACTTTTTTTGCCCCTCACTCTCACCATTAATGAACAAAGTAAAATCAATGTATTGGAATGTACCAATGTCGTTTATGTCTGATAATGGACAAGAGTGATATATTGGTCAACACGCTTATTGCTTTTGGAGAAGAGTTAGACAATGAGAATGATACCAATCTGATGTCAGATCCTTTAGTATCAGACTTAAGGCCAGCAGCCTGTTAGTTCAGTTTGCACAAAGACAAGTAATGGGGTGTAACAGCTAACCTGTACCAGCAACAGGTGAACCAGCACCTCTTATACTATGTAACACCAATATGTTCATCATGTTTTTTATTATTTTACAATTTGACATTTTACAGGGTTACATGCCAAACAATTTCTTTGCTGACTTAGGTACCACTGGACAGAGCCAGGCCTTGTGTCATGAAATCTTAAAAGCCAAAACATGTATTTCCCCAAATAGCTGGATTGCTTATGAGCCAAGCTCCCCCCCCCCACTAAATAGCAAATAGAGAAATTGTTTTTTGTAGAGAGAACAGAGAAATAGAGAAACAGCGTTATTGTTTTTGTTTGAGCAAAGTCTTGGCATAGTATAGCCCCTTATGATAGCAATGAGTTAGAGCTCCTCAATCTTCAAATCCTTCTCCTTGTTACTCAGACATGCCTTGTTTTTATGAAAAGAGCAGAGGGAGGATTCTTCAATTCAACCTAAGAAATGATTCGCTAAACGTTTCTCCAGTCTAAACTGTTGAGAGTTGTTTCAATCAAACGACATACAGGAGACTGAATGCTAATGTTTAGTTCATTTAATCTGTGTTTGTGTGTGCACAAGAGTGTAGTGTGGACTCTCACATTGTCGCCCCCTTATTGGACTGAGACCTGCGTGTCCACAGTGTGTCCACACCCGATGATGTTAATGCTGTCCTTGTTGGTTTCTTCTTTGATTTTGTGTCATTTTTTTTTTTTGCCCTCATCAATTTGTGTTTGTGAGGAAGCAGACGCCACTCATGAAGATTTTATTGTAAAAAAAAAAAAAAAAATCTATATATATACATTGTTGGGTTTGTTTTCAATGTAGCTATGGTATGTGTTGCTAAGCCCACTCGTCATGGAAATCAGACAAAACACAGTGAGGTGGTTTTTTGGAGTTAAATGGGTGATGGTGCAAAAGGAGGCATACCATTGTTGTGGTTAAGTTGGAGAACCTTTCAAAATAAAAGTGTCACTAAAGCCTGCCTTAAGGTTTTACCTCATTTTGCCCTTGACAACAGGTCACTTCTACATGTTTCTAAGATTTGAATGTGTCATAGTAAAAATGTATTAGCTCAAAATGGCAGTAAACTGGATTTCATTTTTTTTTTTAACTCTTGGGATTCTTTTTTGCCGATAGCTATGATTGAGTTTATCCAAAAGTTGAGTTAAATATCTCTTTCTATATGCCAAAACTTAGTTTGAATGAAAACAATCAATCCATACATTTTGACTTTCCTAAAATCTTTGAAATTTAGAGCCTGGCCATTATTATCATCACATTATTATCGGCATCAGCTAATTTTATCACTGATATGTGCCGATATCACTAGATTTATTCACCAGTCAAATATCATTTTATTTGAGTTTCATTGTATTAAACTTACCAGTTCTCTTTTTGGCTGTCACCAGCAGAGGGTGCTATATTACATCAAGCATTCTCACTCACTTTAAAGCAGTGATGCACATACATGTGCAGTTACTTTCTAGTTGAGTGACCATCTTGTCTTTATTATAAATCTTTTCCACAAGTGTTTGATAACTGCATTTGAGGGCTCAATACAATAAATGTGTGTATATATCTATATCTATCTCTAAAGATCGAAGATGGATTAAAGAAATATCGGTCGATATATCAGTACCAGCTTTTTTCTCTCCCTGATATCACTAAAGGTATCGGCCCCAAAAATTCCATTTAGGTCAGGCCCTAGAGAAATAGTTCTCATCAGAACTGCTGATAGTGCAGCTTATCTCTGTGGCCGTCATGATGCTGTAGAATGCTTTCAATTTCACTTTTCAATTCATTGAACGGCACAAACCAAACTCCATTCAATTCCACTGAATTGAAGTGGAATCAAAAAATTAAATACTGTTATTGGCAGGGATTATTGCTTTTTGTTTTGTTGGTGAACTAGCCCTCTAAAGGTACAAAGATGTTTTACAGATACTTTAAACCTTATTCTAAAATGACATTATCTGCTAAGATGCAGTTAAATTATGATAAGTATTTTCATTTTATTTCAAGAAGAGAAGTTCTCTTGGATCATTAATTATTAAAGAGCTTTTATGCTCTGCCAGGCATTCAATTAGTAACAATGACATCCCGGTGTGTCATACAGAACTATTTCAACTTGTGTATAACGTCAAGGTTGGCTTTACAGTATACTGTGTATACCTAATGGATACTTAACATAACGTATGTTACTTTGTGCAGTTTGTCCGAAGAATTCCCCTAAAAATGTTTTTTTAATTTAAGTGCTTCTAAAGTTAAAATAACCCATTATTTTCTTTAATTGCCCTTATTCTATCCCATCAGTAAAGGTAATTGATGAAACCCTGCTGCAGCATGAGGTTGAGAGCAGAACATGTTGCCATACATAGTACAACACGACATCACCACTGGCCCAAGTCGCTCTAAGTCCTACAGGAGATGCATCATTTGCTTGTAAGAGAACACTCACTTTAGAGGAAAGTTCCAGGTTGTCAGCTCCAGCTTCATCATGTTTCATCAAAACTGAAACTAAATGACGATTTCAGAGAAGTGAAATGATACGAGTGAGAACACCATGATGAGATACACTGTACAGACACCACAAAATGAAAATGAGACCTGGTGATGTTTTTGCCAATGATTTGAAATGGTTTGATTCAAGGATTAAATGACTTTTAATTTAGTACATCGTTCCTGAAACTACTGTGAACCTGCTGTGACATTTATGATGATGCCCACATTTACCACTATTCATTTTCTTATGATAGTCCCTCTTAAATTTGATTCACACAGTTCTGAGCATAATAAAATAATGAACTTTACTGGCTTTTAGTTTCTTGACAAGAACTCATTTGCAGGAGTAATGGTAGTATCTCACTTTAATTTGGATTATGAGAGCAGGAAAAAAAACTTGGGCCTCTGTTGTAAAGATTTTTGGAGTTTGTCTCCACCCAGTGGTAGAAACTCCAGCTTGCAACTTCATTTCATTCACACATTTTATTTGACTGAAGAATTTATTTTTTGCCATAGTGATGTTTCTTTATGAGTGGCAGCAGAAAGATAATATCAGTTTAGCTTCTTAAAACATCTTGTTCAGGTCAATGCTGACTGTTCCTCCCTCTGAGGTTCAAGTGTTAAGAGGGCGTTTGATTTTTGTGATTCTTTGTTTATGTACATTTAGAAGAAGTACTGGTATTAGTTTCATGACATGACATGACCAAGATCAAATTCTTAATCTGGTCTGCTTGAATCTTCTCAGACTTACATTACGGTACAATTAGAGACAAAGTATTTCAACTGGATTTAAACTGCAACATTATCCAGTCACACTGAGGGCTCAGCTCTGATCATCCTGTCCACACAGTCACTCTGGTTCATCACAGTTTGTCCTGCCGAGCTTCCAGGTATCTTTGTGCTGCTCTCAGTGTGTCCTGCAGGTCTTTGTACCCGGCCAGAGTGCAGGCGTCCTCCAGCCGGGACCAGCGGTAGTCCTGGTGCTCGTCTGACAGAGTCACCGCTGTCCCCGGGTCCTTCAGCTCGGCCAGCCAGTACAGCACCTCTTTGGGCCTCCCTCTGACCTCATAACGCAGCTCCTGCACAAAGCCTTCTATTACCTGCAAGTGCTCTGCCCCCAGTCCTGCCTCCTCCTTGGTCTCTCTCAGAGCTGTGGTGAGGTCATCCTCTCCTGGGTCCACATGACCTTGAAGGAAAGATCATTTGAGTAGAAGCTCATAAGTTTACACCAGCAGCTAGATGATTCATATAGTTGTGTTGATGTGAACACCTTTAGGTGGGGTCCAGTGGTGTTTTCCATAAGAGGTCTGCAAGAGGAGGTACTCGATGTTGTCTGGTGGAGCGACACAACCAGCCAGACGAAAGACTATGAAGCCACAAGCACGCAGAGCCATCTCCCTGGAGACACAACAAAGTAGTTCAGTAATACTATGAAAAACCTTTTGAAAATGATGTTACTTTCTAACCATTTTATTTCAACATTATAGAAGAACAGGTAGAACAGGTGTGATGATACAATGTCTTCAATGTTCAGGAAATTGTATAAACTTGTTTTATTCTTCTATGGTGAAATGTTTAACCACTGGCCTTAGTCCAGTCTTTACTCATAAATCTATTAGTCAATTCTGCACTTTTACTTTAAACTGGACTTTGTCTTACCCAGAGAGGCGAAGATTAAGTCTCTGAATACACTAACAGTGCGTCTTTTACAATAACTCAGTAAGTTTGAACCCTTCAGTGATTGGACTGAGAGCAGGCTTTAGCTAACACACTGGAACTGATTCTATGACAGACTTTGCTCTGTTGCAGAAACTGTTTTTAGAAACCAGAGCAGAGAAACCTGTAGGCTAGCTGAGCGCTCTGCTTGTAGTTTACATTTATAACCAAATAAACTACAATATAATAAAATGTCTAAAACTTACGATACAAAACAGGATTTTATTGGGCGCGTATGTTTACTCCTCCAGCTGAGAGCACAGCGGAGTACAATGGTGCAACGACAAAATGAGTCCGGTGCTCTTTCGGGACGGGCACATTCAGTTCCGCCTTGACAGTACTCGCGTTAATTCACTATTTACAGTCTATGGTTAATTCATTAATATTTACAGTCTATGGTTAATTCTTTAATATTTACAGTCTGTGGTTAATTCTTTAATATTTACAGTCTATGGTTAATTTATTAATATTTACAGTCTGTGGTTAATTCATTAATATTTACAGTCTATGGTTAATTCATTAATATTTACAGTCTATGGTTAATTCTTTAATATTTACAGTCTGTGGTTAATTCATTAATATTTACAGTCTATGGTTCATTCCCCATTAAACTCTGACTAAAACAAAGTTTAATCAAATCCAGAGTCAAGTTAGGTATTACACAGAATGTTTGTAGGATTGTATTTTAATTACACATGATTGATATTTCAGCAGCTTTTCATTATGTTAGTATGATAATAGACTTATCATTCTACAATAAACATTAGCAACTATAATGACAATGAAATGGGAAGACTGATAGTGTTAGATATAGCATAACATTATATCATATAGGATAATAGTGTATCATGTTATATTAATGGATCTTTTTTCATTATTATAAATCACTGTTATAACTGTAACAGCGTAGCATGCTTGAGATTCTTAATCTGTAATGCTGTATTATTTAATAAATACAACTACTAAATGCAGCCAAGTGACAAATACAATACCCTCAAGTTATACAAAATACAAAAAAACAACCTCAAGTAATGAGATGAAAAGAGAAAAGCTGTGGCGACTGAGAACTTAAATGCACTCTTCCCACCACTATAGGCTACTACAGTACAACTGCAGATGGAGGTGATAAAGGTGATCATCAAATTTAAAGAAGCTTTTAAGACTTAATAATAAAATAATATGACTAAATATTTAAAGTTAAAGGGTGGAATCATTTTGGAAACCACTTTGAAAGTCAGAGACACTGTTTGTATTTCTTAACAATAGAATATCTATTTCGCCTGTGGGAGACAGATAAGAAATGAACCCAGCACCGATAGGACCAACTGAAGACAGCTTGTATCTGAAGATAGGAGAGACGGGGGCTCCGTCCCATGCATGCAGAACTGTCAGCAGCACAGTTTGTCAGCCTGACGGAGGGGACACCGCTGCTCAGTTTCAAGGTAGAAACAAAAATTCATCCAAATATGTATATTCATATTCTTTTAGTAAAAAATGTAGGTAGGAGAGATACGGAGACAGACAGGATGAATAAAAAAATGTAATGTTTCTCCATGCATACAAGGAATTGTATAAATTGGGCATAGGCCTATAGTCCTCTGGGGCTCAGTTAAAGATTGTTTTCCTGTCAGAGACAATTATAATGCTCTTCTGTAGCTTCTTCCTTCACAGCATGTTGCTGTCTGTAGTTTTGCCATAGGCCTCGGGACATGTCACTTTCGCTGCTGCTGCTACTACCGTGCTTACTCAGCCTGCACTGAAGTGCTCATTTTTCCACTCTGCTATACATGAATCACACTGGGGGTCAGGTTCCTCTGCATCTAGATATTTTTGGTACTATACTAGTGATTTAACACAAATATAGGTCTATGGTCTTTCATTGATGAATGCTTTTATACAATGATGTAGCAAAAAAAAGTTATATTTGGAGAAGTTGTTTCACTTTCTGAAGGATGTATATACTGTATTCCTTGGGCAGTTGATTGTTTTCATAGAAACCATATCAAATAATCCTTGATAATGTAAAACTAGTGAGGATGACACAGATACAAGGGATTAAAATTGCAGTTCTGAGTTTGTTTGGAGTAGCTGATCGGTGCCAAGACATGCTTGGTTTCTTCCAGCTGAATGTTCTGGAGGTGTTGGAGACTTAATTTAAGCTGACAACTGTGATGGGTGGTGCCAACACAATAATCCCAGTGACAAATCCAAAAGACACACTTTTCATGTGGAAAGTGAAGTAACACGTCATAGTTTTGATTCCATAAAGAAAACAAAATGCTTCTTTAAGATAAATCCTGAAATGTGAGAATGCTTGCTAACAGAACAACATTTCACAGGACATGGAGGAGAAGGAGCAGCCCACAGGAGGTCCTCATTTTGTGGGGAAGAGGGATGAACTAGTCCAAGCAAAGCGCTCTTTCAGAACACTAGAAGGTCGGGATATACTGATCATCCACCATGGGGGAGTCTTTTATGCTATGGATTCTTACTGTTACCGTGAGTACTGTTCTTCTTGTGCTGAACTCAAAACAGCTGTTACCTGAGAGCTGGAGAGAGTGTGACCAGGATGTTTTGTTTCTCTTCAAATCTGATAATATGCCAGAAGTATGTATTCTCATGAGGATAAATGGTGCTGTTAACAAATGCTTACTTTCAGGGATTTCAAAATAAATCGCTGCCATAAGGAAAACCTGTCATGGGAATATTTAAAACTTCCGTGCTTTGTTAACAACTGGACGCTTTAACACATATCTCCTCCAAAGTGTGTCCAGTCAGCAAAATGCTAGTGTGCTCTAAACAGTTTGCTTATTCTGCAATACACTGATCCTCTTCCCTTCTCCACAGATGCTGGAGGAGAACTGCAGAATGGAGACATTGAGGTGAGGTATACATTTGACTTAAGGGCTTTAAGGTTGTTCTTTTTGTATGACCCTGAGGAAAGAAGATGTTACACTGATCCCTTGAAGTCTATAATTAAGAAATCAACCCTGCATACAATTTGAATATTATGCTAATGTTGAATGGCCCAAATGACCTGCACTTATCCACCATGAGGTTGTTGACCTGCTTTTTTTTTGCAGGAATTTGACGGCAAGCTGTGCATAATTTGTCCCAACCACAAGTACAAGATCTGTCTCGCACAGGGAGAGAGCATTTACAAGTCAACCAACCCCAAGGAGAAGCCGCCTGTGCCCAGATGGTACTCCAAGGGTGTAAAACAGCGGACCCACACGGTCACTGAGAACAACGACGGCAATGTTTATGTCAAACTCTCGGACGTGGCCGGCTGGATCGAGTCAGACTACTTCCAGGGAGAGAAGGGCAAGATAGAGAGGGAAAAAGCTGCGGCGGCTGAAAAGAAGAAATCTTGATCATCTTGTTACAGATGGATGTGAATGGCATCTATTGACTGGATGTTTAAGAGCATGCCATTTGTTTTAGGCTTTTAGCAGACTAGAAAGAAATATTCTTTTTTTTGAAGCCTTTAGGACTTTTTAGAATTTTAAATTTCTTCATTTGTTTACCTGAAAACGTTTTACTGAAAAAAAACCCTCTAATCTCTCAATTATCATGTAGAGTACTAAATACATTTTTGATGGATTCACTTTCACGTTCTCTCTTTTTCTGCATTTTAATATTCCTCATGCATTATGCATACAGTGGATGAATCGATGAGATAAAAAGGTTTATACTGATTGTTTAAAATCGCAAAGTGAAAATGTATCAGTGTTAAAATATAAAGATCATTCTTGGACATGTTTTTGTGATGTTCATGTCCATTTGTTCCTTCAGAAAAAAAGAATACGAAAGCATGCATGTCTATAGGCTGCACAGATTCAAGCATTTGGGATTTGAAATGGGTTTTTTTATTTGTTGGTGAAGAACTCTTTCGGTGACTGAATTGAAAAAGAAAACTTTGCTGGCTATACAGTAAGCAAATCCCTGAGGTTGTTGAAAGGTTTGATGACAGCTGTTCACTAGTCCCGCCTCTTATGTTCACTTGTGATGTATATTCTGTTTAGAAATACAAGGTTTAAGTTTGAAAATTTGACATGATCTTCTCATCTTTGTTAAGAAAGTAAATACATGCATTTAAAAGAAGTTGGCCTATTCTATTCCTTAAACAGTCCTGTATCTCTTATCTTGTATTTGTTACATTTGTTACTTTGCCAGAAAAAAATAGACAAAGAACGGTCAAGTAGCAGCTGAGAAATCTTGGCTATTTTAAAAAAAAAGTCAAAATGGGTTTGCCCAAAAAACACAGGTTCACAGGTTCAATAATGCATCTCAATAGCATCTTCTTTTAGAGCCTCCCTGTCTGGAAAACCCCAATGCCTATCAGACCTCAATCATCCAGTTTACATTTGAAGTCTTGCACATGACATTCATTAATCTAATTTGTATAAAGAAAATACATGTGATGTGTCTGTCATGATTAAGTCATCCTTGGCAAAAAGACAGAAAGGTTTTTTAACTATTTGATGTAAAGAGTGGAGACAGCCTGTCACATTCAGGTTGCTTCATTGTTTCTGTACTCGTAGGGCAGGCTTATATGAACTGCAAACTAGGACTGTAAATGCCATGGGTTGAGATCACACAGGCTATGATGTTCCTCATGAATGAGCTCTTCAGCTGGCCTACAGTCTGAGGCCTTTGTCTATGTGACGGTTTGGATATAATCAAGAAATGCACAGGGCCACCATGTCACATGAACATGGGTGAGCACTGGTGCTTCACAGTTGGAACACATTAAATATTAAAATATAATTATGTAGGCTAGTGAAACTGAGGATCTGGAAACAGAATCATTTTCTCAGGTGGGTATTTGCAGCGGCTCAAGTGGATGACTGTCACCAAGATAAAAAGGAGAAAACGGTTCTATTGCATCTTATTCCAGAGGGATGGCATGTAAACAGCAAGAAATTACCATGTTGCATGACAAAGCCTATAAACTGAACCCTTAAGACTTATGGAATCCCAGGAGGTTTTTCAAGACAGTCAACGAGATCAAATTTTCACATTTTATTTACAACTAACTCCAACCGTTCTGTCAGTTAAATGATCTTTAATTTTCTTGTTACAGTGGTGTCAGTAAAAAGCGACTCTCCTGTAACACCTAGGCTATTCATTATGGCGGACATTGCTGTCATTGTCGTTGACATTGCCTAGTTTACATGCACATTTTGGCAATTCCTTTTAGTGTAGATGTGAGAAAACAGAAGTTGTTGACTCACATTGTGTTTTTTTAACACTAAAACAATAAGCTAAAGGATGCCCCCCTGTTGAGAGACGAAGCTGCTCAAATATTATAGCAACAAAGTGAAAACTATGTTGATGAATGATGAATATTAAATCAACAATGTCATTCCCTGCAGGTTAAAGTGAGGCAGCTCGTGTGTGTTGGCGCGCGCTGCTTCTACGTCTGTATGCCCGCGTGCGTGTTGCTGAGTCAGGCGCGAGCGCTTTCTGTTCAGCTCTCTCTCTCTCTTTCGCTCTCTCTCTCTTTCTCACCCTCTCTCTCTCTCTCTCTCTCTTTTCCTCACTATCTCTCGTTCTCTCTCCCTCACTCTCTCTCTCTTTCTCCCCATTCTCTCTCTCTTTCTCTCTCTGTCTCTCTCTCTGTCTCTCTCTCCCTCACTCTCTCTCTCTCTTTCTCCCTCACTCTCTCTCTCTTTCTCCCCCATTCTCTCTCTCTTTCTCTCTCTGTCTCTCTCTCTCTGTCTCTCTCTCCCTCACTCTCTCTCTCTTTCTCCCTCACTCCCTCACTCTCTCTCTCTCTCCCTCACTCTCTCTCTCTATCTCCCTCACTCTCTCTCTCTCTCTCTCTCCCTCACTCTCTCTCTCTCTCCAGTTGTTTTGTGCCAGTGAGACTTTGTTTTACCCACCGACGTCATTCGTAGAGTCTGGACACGGAGGTAAGAGGCTGCTCCTCCTCGACGTGAATTGTGTTTCCCTTACCGCCGACAACTTGTTTGTCTGTTAGCACATCAGCCGCCCATGGGCGCTGCTGTTTACACCCTCTGCTGCTCCGCGGGCTGGGTTTGTCCGGTGCGCCTCTGCGGTCGGTTCGGGACGGTATCGGAGTCCACCTTTATGAATGAATAACGAGACGGGAGGGGAAATGCGAGTGACTGTGAAACTCCCCAGCAGTCGGGCTCCCGGGGGGGGCAGCCACCGATGAGAGGGATTAACGACGGAGCGGAGCCGCGGCTCATTGCGGAAAAGCCCACTGCAGACTGGCGTGGAAACGCACCGTGAGGGAAACGGGCTCCATAGCGTACAGCAGCGGAACAAAAAACCGCGGTGACCACAATGTAAGTTGCTCCCAAGCTGCAACTCATTAAGGGAAGTGAGGAGATGGGGCTCCTGGTAGGCTATGGTTGCATGCTTTTATTCTTTCTCCCTTTACTGAATGAAAAATGTAAATGTATAGTGAGAGTATTCCTCAAAACGTCCCAGGTGTAATAAGGGCCTTGTCCATCTTCTTCAGTCATTTTTAGTGACATAGCGGTGATGCACTGTCTCCGTGATAGACATGATTAATAAGGACCACATCAGTGAGAGGTGCCTCCTCTGTGCTGCTACCTCTGGAGCATCATCTGCTTCATTCAAGTCCCTCTGAACCGCGACTTGTCTGGCTTACAGGTCCATCCACATTGTGGCTCTGGGCAGCGAGTGCCCCGGAGGAGTCGGGCCCGGGGGTGAGGAAATCATGGGCCAGGGGCAGCTGCAGGGAGGCCTGCTTTGGAGCTACCTAGGTCATGGAGCGCTGGTGGGACCCTGCGACCTGGAGAGCAGCGTGCACAACCCAGCATTCATGGAGTACACCTCACGTGTGTTCGGAGATGTCACCGTGGTGGTCCGGGATTGTCCCAGCTGGGTAAGAGACTGTCGGTGTGGGGTGTTTTTTGTGCAGCACACAATGAGGTAAACCTTAAACCCACATAACACAGCATTAATCTATGCTTTCCTCATTCATCTATCTGTAGCTCATTTGCATAATTAAGAGGTAGCCTATGGTGTTTGTAGGTGTTGCTGTGGCTTCATTCTCTTAAATCTTTGCCACCTAATCAGGCTTTATTTGCAGAGCAAGCCAAGATGCCAAACACCAAGTGTGGTGTTATTTTTCCAGAGCACTGCCATTATCAAAGATTTTGCGTCACTTCTCATAAGTATAATTCAAATTCCAAGGCCACTTGCCTTCCAGCGCTGATTGCAGGCTTTATGAAAATGTCTCTATTCTTAGGAGTACTCTATTTTAAAATGAAGCACACAAAAAAGATGAAAGAACTTTTGTTCTTAATAGCATATGAATGCTGTTATGATTTGGTAGCAGCACGGTATGGTGTCTATTATAGGGCTGTCTCACACTGTCAGGGCTGTGTCGCTGGGAAAGACTGTCAGTCTAATTTTATGTGTCTTTGTCCTTTTTATCGAAATTGCCCACAGCTTTCTGAAGTGTTGTTTTTCCTGCCTAATTAGTTGAATCAGGTTGGGTTAGATTGAGCAAGTAGCCCAGCACAGGTCCTGGGGGGGGGGGGGGTAAAGTCCCAAGGGCCACACTGTGGTAATTATGCTTGTGGAGACTCAGAGGAGAAGGGTGAGGGTTATCTGAGGTAGGAGTATTGGCATGCATGCAATCCTGTGCATGCATTGCATTTCTCATGTCTGACCTCCTTCCATTTCTATTTGTTGTCCTTTTCTTGACTTTCCAGGACTTGTTGGACAGCGATTGGGCCAGCGTACGAAAAGTTCTGGAGCAGGCGGACATTCTGGTCATCAAATATTCAGTCACTGACAAGCTAGCCTTCCAGCAGGTCAGGAATGGCTACGCCCCGAGACTCCGCCCGCTCCTGAGGCACTGGGGTGTGCCTGTCATCCTGGTCGCCGTGGGAGCACGCCTTAACGGTGGGGATGCTTTTTCTCTCTCTGTTTTTTTTTTTAAGGGGCTGAGAGAGTTTAGTTTTGCCGTCACCTTGACAACTGAGGTTCCCTCTAGCAGCTTGTCATTGTTGCATTCGAAAAACATTGGATTTTTTAAAAGCAGCGACTACAAAATGTTTTATCTCGTCGCCTTTGAACTTGATATCCTTGTATGGTTAATTAACTGTTGCTTCAGTCGTTGAGTTTGATTTTCTGACATTGCCATGCTCTACTGGTTCGGCCACTGAGCTCACTGTCTGTCCTTGTGTCCTCCTTTGTCCTCCCAGCACAGGGGAGGATGCTCATGATTAAATCTCCCCTCGCTGCCTTCAGGCTGTCAGCTCACATGCTCCCTGCAGAAAACCAGACAAATCAAGACATTAAGTTGTTGTTTTTTTGTCACTATAAGCCTTTGAATCGGACAAGCATTTACACGACTCTTAAATACACACTCATAGCTCAAACGTGCACCGCAACATTAGCGACCCTTTAAGTAGGAGTTACAGCCAAAATAGGGGCTGCTTAACACAGAGAATTGATCCTGTGTGTGTTTATGCAACACACTGACCCTTGTTGAATCCAGATGCAGTAGACAAGCTCATCAAATGTACCAGGTTGTATTTTTAGCTCGTCTGCTCAACATACTTTGAGAACCTGTCAGAGCTCTGCTGCAGAGAGATCACAGTGTGAATCAAGTCTGTGCCAGAGCGACAGAGAGAGAGAGAGAGAGAAAGAGAGAGAGAGACTGAAGAGGAGAGAGAGAGTAGGTACCTGTAGTCTGAAACCTTTGTTTGTGTTTCAGTCTGTGACTGCTGTGAGTATTTTCACATCATCCCCTTATGACTGCAGAGAGTGACGGCTGAGCTCAGAGCGCTTCCTGACGCTCGACTTTAGACCCACCTCGGGCACAGCCATGGCAGAAAGAGAGAGAGAGAGAGAGCACTGCTGTACGTGCATTAATGCAGCCATTAAACCAGCGCTCAACGCAGGAGCACAGACAGAATTATCCAAGGGCACCCAAGGGCACGCACGCACCCTCACTCACACAAACATAGCACTGATATGCCAAGTCACTGCCGTCAGACTCTCACACACACTTTGCTCCTCTTTCTGACTCTCTCTCTCTCTCTCCGTCTCTCACACACACTCACACACACACACTCTCTGTCTGGCTTCTTCTCTGTGTCATGCCTGCAGGTTATTAGCAGAATGATTTATCAAATGCCTCGGCACTTAGCTGCATGTACCGCTTGTTCTCTCTTTCTCTCTGGCTCTCTCCTCTTTTGTGCAGTTTTTTTTTTCTCCTCCGAGCAAATCCTTCCAAATTTCTCGTCTAATTCTGTCTCTTTGGTCCGCGTGTACACATGGCACAGCACGGCTGGTCTTAGTGCACGTGGCGTTGCACAATTCACGGTGAATGCGATGATCGATTTTTTTTCTCTCTTGAGCAGAGAATTCATTTTTTTCTCCTCTAGACATGAATTCAGCCTGTGGCCTGAAAGTGAAAAAACACAACACAATCAGTCAAAGAAAATCCATAAAGTAATGATATTTAAGGACAAAAAATACATACATTATTCTCTTTGTCTTTGTTGTCTCGGGATGGTCATCTTATCAGGCAGCGCTCTGATGGGTCCAGTCTGCTGTTAGACTGACTCTTACTGCTGCAGATCACTATCACAGGAGTGATGACTTTGTTTACGACTATTTAAAACAAAGCACCTGCTCTGCTGGCTGGGTGTACACCTGAACGTGTTAAACTTAAGTTTTGTATTTATTGAGTATTGTCATTTGTTTGGTGTGATTTCTGTGTTAAGAATATGTTTTGACTCATTTCCAAGTATTAACATTGAGCATTTAATAGTGTTTTAACATTTCATAGCATGAATACAATGTTTGCACTGGTTCTTTAAAATGTGTCTCAGGGCTCAGTGCAGCTCATTTGGTGAAATATTAGCAAAAATGTCCGACATTTTTATTATTATTATTATTTTTTATTAGTGATAAGGTGAACAAAATGAAACAAGAATATATAGACATGACATAGACATGACAACTAAAGCGAGAACAAACAAACAAACAAAGACAAAAAATAAAAATAGATACAAAATAGCAAAACATAAGCAAAGATACAGAGCGACAATACAGACAAAATACATTTAAATGAGATGAGAGTCAAGCAATGTTTTTTATGGTTAGGTAGTGTGTTAGAAAGGTGTGAATGTGTTCGTGGCAGCGTAATGCATTAAAGTGCGGAACTTAGTGGGGAGTAGCAGGAAAACAAACAAAAATATAAATAAATGAAAAATTAGTTAGAGAAAAAAATGTCGGACATTTGATGTCAAATTCACACCATGCTCATGCATCCTAAAAAGCATAATGTACTGTCAATAGACAACTTCCCATGCACTCTCCAAAAACATTTTTTTCAATATTATATAAGGGGCACGGTAGCCTAGTGGTAAGTGCACGAGAACAGAGGTGTCCAAGCAGACGGCCTGGGTTTGAATCCTTTCTGTGGCTCCTTTCCAGCGTGTCATTCCCTGCTTTCTCTCTCCCTGAATTCCAACTCTATCCACTGTCCTATCTCTTCAATAAAGAATAAAAAACGTATTTACTGTTTTAATGAATTAAATCCCCTATTCTGTGTCCAGATGAAGGCCCACCGTGTACTTGTCCGTTGTGTGCGTCTGACTGGAGCAGCTGCGTGCCCCACAGCGAAGGTCTGCAGCTGTCCAGAGACCTAGGGGCCACTTACCTGGAGCTGCCCTCGCTCAATCATGTGTTTGTGGGCCGCTACTTTGGCAGTGTGGTGAGTGGTGAAGTCACACGATAATAGGTCCAAAGTAAGGATTGAATGACTAATATGGAGTCAGATGTAATGTCAGACTACTAACTGAATTTGTTTGAGAGTTGTTATAAGCTGGAAAGGAAAGTTCATCGGATCAATAATGTGTCCCATGACAAAATCAGCTCTCTCCTTCATCTGGAAATCATGCTGCAGGATATATTCCTCAGTTTTCAGCCTCTTCCTGTCTGTTTAACTGCCTGTCTGATACTAAAGGACAGATATCTGCATTGTTCTTCTCAAGTATTTGTTGCAAATGAGGAGAGTTGCCGATGTAAAATGATTATTTCCATATATTGCACTGGAACTAACTATGTGTATGTTTGTATTGTTCAGCTGGAGTACTTCATGATTCAGTGTCTCAAACACAAAGCTAAAGAAAGGCCAGAGAAGAGGAGAGGGAATAAAGTGAACGAGCTCCGCCCCCCTCACTTAGAACAACCAGGTCAGAGGAACACTATGGTACCTAAACACTAAAGCTGCTTGTTTTGAAGGAGGCATCTTTTCTGTCCTGTCAGTTTCTGTAGCCAGTGTGAACACGTGGTGATTGTTGTTTTTATTCATGCATTTAGTTTTTCTGTTATTATTTCATTAGCATTGCTCTTACTGTTTACCTGAAAGGACTGACTAGATGATTTCTTCTTGCAGCTCACATAGCCACAAAAGAGCTGAGCACAAAGGTTTTATCCAGATCAATATTCCCTCTTCCACACTGGAAACAAGAAGAGAGACAAAGAGCTAGGTAGACTACTTTTTTTCAGCGACGTTTAACTCAATCTAAGACTGTGCTCTTCTCAGCCTCCAGACATCAAAGTGTTGAAGTCTGGAGGCAGCTCGGTGATGCAGTCATGGGACGAGAGAGGATTGTTCAGTAACCTTATCATTAACCTCTTTAAGTCTTTAAATACCTGCAAAAATACAGAACCAGTGACTTATTTTCATTTTGCAGTTGATTTTTAAAAATATATCTTTTAAACTTTTGTGCATAGAATTAATAAACCAGTTTGAGAAGATGAATTTTAGCACTTAATTATTTTCCTCACAGTTTACCATCGTTTGTTCTGTCTGATCAGAGTTTAAAACTCAAGGTCGTCGTTTACAAAGAAAGGAAAGACAAAAGATCGCATGTCCTTTCTCTTTGGGAAGTTAGAAAGAATAATCATTTATTGACTTTTTAAATCAAATTTATTTTCGTTAAAGAAGCTTACGCCGACTTTTCACACACAGTTATTACCACTGGACTCAAAAGGTTTCTTTTGTGTCAGACAGTACATTTAAAGAAAACGTACACACATGTAGGTAACATAATTAATATAAGAAGAGATGGATGGAAATGCAGATCAAGATCAAAAAACCCTTAAACTCAGTCACACATTTGACTAGAAATGGGCGTCAGAGACACAGCAACCTTAATTACTGTTACAAAGCTTGAACGACTGAAGCCAAGCTGGAGTACTCTGCTGCTTTCTCTTTGTGCTAATGTTATTATGTTTCAGTCTGTGGAACTATTTCACCTAATTGGCTTATAGACAGCCTGATTAAATCTGCATGCTGCTGCCATTCTGTTGGACGTTGCTACCAACTGAAAGCTTTTTATGTTGTATTTAAAATTACACGATGAAAATTTATTTGGCCTTAAGCAAAACTCACAAACCACAACTAGAGGTCGTATCATAATTGATTTACAAAGTGAGATTACAATTGTTGCATTCTGAATCGAGCTACACGCTCTTTTTATTTCTTTACCAATTCTGCCTCTCTGTATGTTTCCACACCGAGTTCATTTTTTTAACACAAACTACACTACTACTGTAAAATACTTGTCTGACCACTTTGCTGCTGTGTGTGTCTAAATGTGACACAATGACTGATGGCTTCAAGTCCAGCCAAAGAAGCAGCAAGTGCTGGTGGATTTATTGGTGTCCGTCCAACACTCCGTAAGTCATACTTACGGTGTAGCTTGCATTAAATATGAAGTGCACCGACTCAGGAGCAGCACAATTTGCACGCTCAGATCTGAGCAGCCATAAAAAAAAGGAGATAAGGTCCACAGAGGTTTACTTTGTAATAGGACTGAATAGGACTATGATTTGTGAAACCCCCTCTCTCTCCCACTTCCCTTTCATTCCAGCCTGGTGGTTTGTCAGCTCTTATTCATCTGAATTTATGACAACAAGCATCACAAAGCAATTTTTTTCCCCTCAATCTCTTTGAAGAAATATGTTACGAGGCTCACTGACAGTTTTTTCCAGTTCTGTGCTTTTTTTTTTATTGCTGTTTTTTTTCGTATTCATGGTTTTTAATTCACACTCCATCCACTGAGAATAATTTATCAACCAATGAATCAAACTTGATTTGTATAGCGCCAATACACAACAGATGTTATATCAGGACTTACTTTACACAAAGAGCAGATCTAGACTGTACTCTTTGTTGGATCATTTTTATTAAGACCCAACATTAATCCACCACAGCACTGAGCATTATTTAGCAGAGTGACTGTCTTTTAAGAGGCAGAAAGCTCGAGCAGAACCAGACTCATGTTGAACAGACATCTGTTGACGGTGCTGGGCTTGGAAAGTGGGACGGAGGGAGATGCAGAAATAGAGAGACGGATAGAGACAAACATCGCAACAACAATGAATAAGACTCTAGCTCTTAGCTTAAGGATCAATCTACACTCTCCAAGTATTTGTTCTGTTTTCAAAGTTTTCAAACCGTCTTCCCCTATTCGGGTAGAAGAGTCCAGCTTCTCCCAGGACATGCAGTGGTTGTTGGAGCGTGGCGTGCAGTTTGCCGATGTGGCGTTCTACGCGGGAGACTCGGGGAAAGAGCTGGGGTGGGCGCACGCTGCTGTGCTGTGTGCTGTCAGCCCGTACTTCAGACAGCTGCTCCTGGGGCCCAAGACCAGGTAGGAGAGATATTATTAGAGAGATATCGTCCGGGATTGAGTTTCACAAGATATTTTCACCACCTGATCCTGTAGCCAGCAGGAGCTCATCTCTTTTTGCAGACTCCACTGTTCTGTGACTGTGATAGAAATTGCATTTCATCTGTGGTTGGACAGGGAACGTCCTCAGTCTCGGTGTGTTTGCAGAGAGCGGGACGGAGGCCCACATTCACTGCTCTCCACCTGGGATGGGGGGATTATTGATGACATGCCCCGATCAGAAGGGCACCTGACAGGACGCCTCTCTCGCCTGGTGGTGAAGGACCCCCTGCTGTGTATGTGCCTGTGGGAGACTCTCATGTTCATATATAGAGGTAAAATAAAACACTGCATACTGGAAAATAATAATGAAACCAGCAATTTAATCTCCTTTTTCATTTAAACCTCTCTCAACTATTTGCTAGCTCAATGAAGAACTGTTACTGACTTCTACTATGAAGCTAGTAGTACACAAGTAAGAACACTTGATATCCTAATTTCCTTAAATATTTCTACAATTCAATCTCTTCAACTTTTAAAGACACAAACAAAATGTCAAGCCTTGTTTATTTTACCAGCCCTTGTACCTACCTGAGCTCTTTTGATGGACTACAGACTAGACAGAACACACTGCAGCTGTTTAAGCTTCCTGTATGATTTACAATAGATTTTAAAATTTCACTGACTGATGCAATAGCATTTCTACCAGCTGTATCTCTGATCTTTTAGTAACTTACAGCTAACACATACGTTGAGATCGTCGGGCACAGGTGTTTTGTTTCACATACTAGGTTAAAAAACTCTGAAACCAACTGCTTGAGTAGATTGGCTGAGTCAGTGATCTCTTTTAAAAAACCTTTTTAAAACGTAACTTTAATTTGATGTATTTTAAAATGGTTGTTCTTCTTATCTTTGCCTTTGCTTGTGATTTTATGACCTGCCTGTTTCACTTAACTGTCCTTGGAAAGCACTTTTTAACTTTCTGATTTTGAAAAGCAATCTATAAATGATAGTTTATTATAATTATTTATTTAAATGATACATTAAATAATACAAATGCTGGACCATCCCACATTGCCATTGAGCTGTGCTGCTACCAGCAAGGCTAACAATGACTTTAATAATTCTGTGATAATCAAAATGCTGCATTCATTTTAAGTGAGTTAAAAAAGGTGACCCCTAGTTTATTTTGCTGAATTATTTCAGTATTTTAAGTTGCAACATTCAAAATTAGCTCCCCAATCTTCTTCAGTTAAAATCATTTGATTTCACGATGAAGAAGTTGTCCACAATGACGTCCTGATATCAGGATCAGTTGCACAGGGCGTGCCAAGAAGAAAGCTGAGACCAGAACTCAAATCTTTCCTTGGAACCGCGGCCAACATGAATGTTGTACACGGAAATCTGGAAGTCTGAATCAGTTTCTTACCCACCCATCACACTGGATGATTTCTGGTTGGATGAATTTGTGAAGTTATCTCCTGCTACAAACCACTCAGTGTGTTGAATGATTTCATTATTAATAACCTAGTCTTGGTGATTCAACCTGGTATTCAGCCTTTTTGTTGTTGCAATGTAAGACACATCCTGCTCATAAAAAATGACAGTCTAAATACATCTAACAGACCTTGACAGACATTCACAGCATGGGAGCTCTTTTCACAGAAAGCAGTTATCCTTTTCCAGTCATTTGGATGTGATGATTTATGTAGAGGGCAGTTTTCATTCTTTTCGGTCTTTTCCAGTTTTCCATTATGGAACAGAAATCACTCAGATTGAAACTGCATTATCATAAGCAACTGCTGTATTATCATCTGGGACCTGATTTCATCTGGGGCGGCTTCGGCTCCTGCAGTTGTCCCGATGTGTTCTTGGGCAAGACACTTAACCCCAAATTGTTCCTGCTGCTTCGTTGGCAGCGTATATATGTGTATGAATGGATTAGTTAATACTGATGGACACTTTACATACAGTAGCGGCCTCTGCCATCAGGGTGTGAATGGGTAGGTGTGACCTACAGTGTTAAAGTGCTTTGTGTAGTCAGAAGACTAAAAAAGTGCTCTACAAGCTCAGGTGCGTTTATCATTATTTATACTGTGATATGTCTCTGTTTTTTTTAAGGCCAGTTGTGTTTTCTTCCCTCAGCGTAGCGTAGCTTTATGAATCATTATGGACACTTGGCTGGATTGCTGCACTAGTGATGTCTCTGCAGTAAAACTGAACTAGTGTCATTTTGAAGGCTGACAGGGTTAGCTGTTGCCTTGTAACAGTGGCCTTGTATTGTCTCCAACAAAGGATTGCACTTGGTAATGAAACTGTCATGTAAAATAAACAGCATCATATATAAACGTAACCTCACAAGAATGCAGCCATATGCACAGATAAAGATGCAACCAAAACAGCTGTTTTTTTTTTTTGCAGCTGTAATAAATTGTGGCTGTCGCATCAAGCATGTTCTTAACTCGTGTATGAAGCCTTGGTTAAAGAGCCGTGTGACATCTTTGTGATTTCAGCACTGTAATGAAAATCCTCTAAGAGTCTGCAGAGCTGTGCTTGCTGCATGTTTGATCGCAGCTCCTCGTGCATTCAAGCTCATCATCACAGGCTGCATATCGTGCAGGATCCCTTATGGCACAAAGCTTCGCTCACATCTGATTCACGGCTGCCTCTTTACATGTATGTGAGCGGCAGTGATGCTCTGAGAGAAACACTCATGTGCACACTCACACAGATTCACCAGAGGCAGACACACAGACATGTCAGCTGAGTGTGTGTGCTGTCAGAGAAGGCTGAGTGGAGCAGGGAAGAAGATTATAGGGTTAGACTGAGTCTCTGTGAATGACGGTATGAATACAAATAAGAATGCCAGAGTTTGTAAGAATGAGGGTACAGTGATTATGCTCTCACACAGGTATCTAAGTACTTGTGCAAATTTTTTTTTTTTTTTTTTTTTTTGAACAACAGAAGACGAATATGGGAAAGGATGGAGTGGAAAATTGAGAGTGAAAACAAGCCAGCGGGACACAAGGATTCAAGACAGAGAGAAAGTGTTTGGTTGGTGGGGGAGCTGTGCACTAGAGCATAATGTTTGTGTACATGTGTGTTTGTCTCTTTGTGTGTGTGTGTGTGTGTGTGTGTGTGTGTGTGTGTGTGTGTGTGTGTGTGTGTGTGTGTGACTCGAAGTGAGCAGCAGAAAGAGAAACATGTGGGCATGTGCTCTGCAGAATACCAATGTCACGTTTCTACTCCTAAAACACTGCAGGGAGTCAATGTGAAGCCTTGTGTGATGTAATGTAACGCTAACCTTCAACATGGCCGGTCTGACTGTATGTTTAAAGCAGCTTGACCTCACATACAGTGTGCATGCGTGGGTTTCTGCATTAGCGGGGTTTCTTAAATGGGCTAATCAGATGTGAACATTTGCCTTCCTTGCCCAGAGAGACATTCAAGGCGAAGAGAGCCAATATTTGATTTCTATTTTGCAGTAAATCCACAACATGCAGTACTTGTTTTTCTCCAAGAGAAGGGGACGAAAATCTTCTGCTGGCACTGTGACTCCACTGGCACTGTCAATTGTATCTCAATTAATTGGTTTGACAGAGAACATTTCCATAACAATATCATAACTCTGTAAACACACAGCGTCACACTCGCGCACAACGCTCAGGGTTTTTGTCACTGGGGTGTTTGTGGACAGTCACAGAGGCCATGACTTATCCTGCATGATGTTAACACTGCTGGACTCATTGCATTGTGTGCTATGCTGCTGAATCATTGCATTCCTCACTTGGTTGCTGTTGTGTATGTGCATGTTTAGCACACATATTTAAATGTATGACACAGAGGAATTACTATACATTATGTGTGTGTATTTAGAGTAGTATTGGCCTTTAAAGGCCTCAAATTTCAACTGAAGTCTTCATGCACTAACCACGCTGCCTCATGACCTTGACGGGCTTGTCAAAAGATAGGTGAAAGTTTTCAATCTACCAGCGCATCCAGTTTATCTTTGTCTGGTTATATGATAGGTCATCCGCACACCGCCTGAGCTAATCTGTCACCCTGCCTACGAGGTGTCAGCGCCATGTTATTATCCGACAGCGTGTGTTGAGGTAATCCCTCCATCAGCCTAAATATTGTCATTATGAACAAATGATGAGATAAATCTTGTCCTGCCCAGCTCCCTTTTCCCCCACACTGTCTGTTTACATCCCAGAGAGACAGAGTGCATCACCCCCGGATAAGCTGCAGGGCTTTGCCGGCTTCATGGAGAAGTATTACGCTAAAATGAATGAAATGGATAGTTTTCCATAAAGACATTTAAATTCAAGTTTTATGTCTCACTGCTCATTATTTCTATCTCTATACTGATCATAGTTTTTTTTTCCCCCAGGTTTATTATGCAGCCAGCAGCATGATAGGGATGGCATGTGATTGACAGTATCTTAGGGCCTAAGAGATATATCCTGATATATGTTGGGTGGTGTGCCTTAAACGTTCATGCAGATATCCAGAGGGTGAATCTTTCAACATTCAGTGATCTCGTAAATACCACCATGAAGTTCACACAAGCTTGTGAAAGGATTTATCACATCCTGCATTGTAATCCCTTGACCCAAATGATCCCCCTCTTTTTTACAAGCACATTGGATCATCTGGTCAAAATGTCAACATTTTAGTTTATTAAATTCCCATCAGCCTCAGTTGGACTTTGAAGTGCTTGTAACTGTTGACTTTTGACCAGTTCACTTTGGGGGCAGATTTAATCTTGTTTTTTTTTTTATTGCAAAGGCATTCTGGTCTCCGTTTGTGCTTTCTGGACTGAGCGTCCCACCCAAAGTTGACATGTATGATATAACAAGAAATGTTTTAGAAAAAAGCCAATTTAGTCAAAATGCTCGATGTGAGGTGTGTGGGTGGTAAGAGTGCAGTGCCCGCAGGACAAAAAAAAAATTGTTTCTGTGTGTGTTTTTAGTAAACTGTACTATTGTGGATGCTTTGTAGGAGCGTGGGAGTGGGAACACCTTCAAGAGGCCCTGGAGGAGAAGCTGAAGAATTCGATAGCTGTGGCTCAACTTATGGAGCGCATACGATCCCTCATCGGCAGAGACAGGGTGAGGTATTCAACATGCAAAACAACCTCTCTTATCTTATCCAGAGGTGTTATACAAATTGTAAACACATTTGTTGAGGACTGGAATATCTTGGAATAGCACTCCCCAGCAAAAGTGATTAAATATCTATTATGTGTCAAAGGTTGTCTTTGAAGGTATAAACATTTGCTTTTGAAGTGGCAGACTAACAGTGCCTTCATTAGTGAGACCTTGTTAAGAAACAGCGTTGTGATAAGTTGGCCATAATTAGCGTGTTTATTTAATTACTGCACATATCAACCCCTGTGGGAATAAGTACCAGATAAACAAGAGAAGCTTGTTAAAGGTTTTTTGTATGCCAAATAACTGGTATACATAATAGCCATCGAGTCAGCATTATGTTAAAAACTGCAGCTTCATATCTGATTATTCAGAAAACAGCAGGCCTCTCCATGTCAAAGACATCAGACCATGATCAGGAGATCTGACAGGTCTGGGGCCTGACAAGCCTTCAGCACCTTGCATGGTCCATGAGTACATCTGTATAGAACTCCAGTCTTCCAACTGAGGCACACTTTGACACGATGTGACTCCCTAATGTCCCATCAGAATCTGATCTCGTCGTCTGCAAAAACCTCCGGCTTGACTCTTCTCCAGAAGCTTTCCATTGATTCACAAAATCAAAGAGGCTCAATTCTGTTGCTGCCTCTGCTGAACGCTTTGTGTTTTCTGAACGCTCCCTCTGCAGCAGAGCGCAGAAGGAATATGGAGGTCTTTGTGCTCCGGTTGGCTGAGAAAGGTCACGTTATCGTAATGGGATGCTTTATGGGATACTTTGACAACAATCATTTTGCAGACGTAACTATCATAAAGTTAAAAAAAAACACAGCGCTCTTACAGTGATGATTTCTTCCTCTGTGGACTGCAGTATAATGTTTTTACATAATTTTCATTTGGCATCCTCTAAATGCTTAAAAAAAACAGGGGTGTGTTAATAAATTCAAAGTTTTGGGACAGTCATGTTGTCATGTTGTTCATGACATCTATGTTTTAGTATGTTTGGGTAACCAGCCCTAACACCAAGTAAGACTGGCATACAGGTCATTTATATTCCACAGGGGTTGTGAGATCACAGAATCATGCAGGTAACTAGTAACTGAAACCCAACAGGAGAATGTTAACTCTCTCTTTATGTTTCTTTTGTTGTCTTCTCTACTGTTTGTGTATGCATGTATTTGTATATGTGTGTGTGTTTGTGTGTGTGTGTGTGTGCACAGGGCCCCAGGGACACCCCGAGCGCGCGGGCAGCTCAGCTAGGCCCCCCAGACTCTTGTCAACCTCTTCAACTCTCCTCTTTACTCTGATGTCATTTTCATGGTGCAAGGTGGGTCCGTGCTAATATGCGGTTTCTGAAAGCAGACAGATTTACAAATGAATGCATTGTCACAGAGCGGAGGAAGGTCACATTTTATAGCTGTGATTGAATTATGATCTCAGTCTCTAGCCTGCTCGTCCATTTGGAAGCTAAATAAGATAAAACAGTCTGAGGGACGAGCCACCTTCCGCTCCTGTCAGGTCTCATCTCACCCAAAGAGCTCCTCCGTGAGCTGCATTTAACATATTTGCTATTATAGTATCAAATTGAGAAATGCAGAAGCAGAGCCTTGAAGCGTCACCTCAATCAATATTTATCTCATCAAGAGTGCAGCAAGCTATTCTGGTCCTTGCACCTCTAAGCTGCAAATCTAAGAGGTCACAGAGACAGCTTCTGCTTAATACTAGGTGCATTTCTTTTCATGCTAACACGCTGATAGAGTGAAGGGAGAGAGCTGTCACACCTAATGACAGCGATTATGTCAGGACTTCTGCCCAGACTCTTCATGTCATTTGTTTCTTGTTCATTTATATGACCTATTATAAGAGATCACAACAAGCCACATTAAATTAGGTTTGGCCTCTACACTAACGTCATGTGGCGAGAAAGAAATGTCATTGATAATGGGAGTTTTTCACTTGTTGAATATTATTTATAATTTGTTTGTGACATCATTTGAACCCTCACTTAGAGTCTATACGCGCAGGCAATTCCCCTTCACTGATCGATAGGACTTTCCTAGAAGCTACTTTCAAAATCTATAACTGGATGTTAAACTCCTCACGTCTGTTTGCGTTGAAGGGAGTGTTCTGCCAGCCCATCGAGCAGTGCTAGTGGCACGCTGTGATGTCATGGCCGCCATGTTCAGTGGAAAGTATGCGGAGGCTCGGAGCCGAGTAGTGCCCATCCACGGCGTCTCCTCAGATACCTTCCTGTCCTTCCTGGAGTACCTCTACACTGACTCCTGTTGTCCTGGTGAGTTATTTGCACAAAACCCCCGACGTGTTCTAAAGTAGACATCTCTGACCAAGATTGCATTCCTTTAGATTAATGACTGTTAGGTTGTACCTCAAACTGAAAACACATCTCCAATTAGAGGCCTAAATATAGTAAGAAAACATCCCTGCAGTCCTCTTCTTCTTCTCGAGTAATTAAACACTGTTGCCTAGTTTTATAGAGCTGGGATTGATAGCACTAAAAAAAACTCTGAATCAGCGTGTTATGCAGTCACTTCTCCAGATTGCTGTAATAAAAACAGGGTCTGTGTTGTTTAAAAATGAATAATAACTATAAATTGATGCATGGTTGATTAGTGATTGGGATGAAAGTCACTAAATATGCACTGGCTCTGACTAATAAAAAATAAAACCGGACCTTTGATTTCAGTTTAATGGACGACACAAATGAAACGCTTGAGAGAGGTACAGTGGTGTTTTCCTGCAGGCCTCACTCACTGCACAGCCAGAAACAAAAGCACAGATGACAAGTTCTGTCAACCATCTGTGTGACTGCGACATGCTGCCAGCGCCATTCTCAAGAGGAACGCACAGAGCAGCACTGAGCAGCACTGAGCTTAAAATTAAATTAGATTCAGAGATGACAAACTCAACCCGTGGCATCACTGCCTCATCTGTTTTTAATGGTGCCGGCTCACAGCCCGACATCGTTTTTGTTTTCTTCCAACTCGATCCGTCAAACTGAGCGCTGCATTTTTAACACTAATTAGCATATGATGATAGTAAACTATAGATTATTTCATCTTGCCAAGTGTGCGTTTCAGAACCTTGACGGTGAGTTGAGCAATCATTTTTATTTGAACACTGAATCAAATGACTCGTGTGTAATATGCAAGCTTAGCTGATACTGTCGATCTCATTGAGAATCAATACTTAACCTGCAATTATAGGGCAGCGTTCAGCCAATTGAAGTTTGTTATTCAGGTAGACAAACCAGATAGAGCTTAAACTATAGGCTGCTCTCAGCAACAGGCTTTCCAGTCATTAAATGGCTCAGTCATTAAAAATGCTAAAAGAGGAAAGAGACCCAGGTACTGATATCAGGAGTAGCTGGATTGCACAATACCCCATGAACCCCCCTATGTCTGCTTTGTGTTTAAGTGACAAACTAACCAAATCAGGAAAAAGAACAACAGGAAGAACCAAAATATCATTTGAGTTTTTCTGCCCTCTAGTGCTAAAAAGTGACAAAATACAGCTTTGAATGTCAAGCTTAAGTCATGTCTAAAGGGACTTTGGTAGTATTGTGTGTGTGTGTGTGTTTTCAATTAACGGTTATCTCAAGTGGATCCAGTATTTGAATTACAAATGATTACAGATTATTAAGACACAGGATACCTTACTTCTCTTAATTAATGCAAAATATATCAAACTGTAATTAACAGTCACCTAATTACAGAGTTGATTACATTGTTTGCTATCATCTTCATCCCCAGTATGATTATATAATAAAGCTGCCAGTGTACAGTGAAGAATAATCTGTTCTGAATAAGCAGCAACTTGGAGCTGACAATCTCCTTATTTTTGTGGCACGAGATGTTTTGGTGCAAAAAAAGGAAGAAAAACCTCAATAAGCAGCTCTTAAGAACCGGCTTAGCTACAGGGAGTGTGAGCAGGCCGTTTCCAGAGATACAGCTCCAGGTTGAATCATGGGAAAAGGGGGAAATTAAAGCTCAGGAAACAGCTCCAGAGGCTGAAGTTGCTGCACTGTTGCGTAAGAGCTCAGCACTCAAGGTCAAAGCAAGGTAACTGCACTCGTACCCCCAGAACAGAGGAGTGTTTAAATCAGTTTATATTTCCGACTGTGTGAGCAGAAAACATGAATGCTCATGTTGTGTTTTTAGATGACAGTGCAGAGATTCAGTGTTACTGGGTGGAGGTGAAGGCTGCTGAGGGTGATGGACTCAAATGGCAGGAATCAGGTTACATCAGGAGTTATTTGATCTGACATTTTGACATTACATAACAGGACCAACTTTACTTCTTTGATGCTCGCTGTGCGCGTGTATGTAGGGAAGTAATATAACAGCTTAGAGAGAGCCGTGTTAAATTATTCATTTGTTCTAGTCAGTGATTTTATTTCAAGCTCAAAGCTGAGATTAAGTCTGTGTGCTGACGTGTGTTTTCATTGAAATGTCGTTTTAGTTTGAAGAGTTTTGCACAAAGTTGTCCAATAAAACTGATCCAGAATCTGAAGAGTGAAAAAAAAAAGACAAGACTGTGGGATGTGCGTTGCTCAGTAAAGCTTTAAAACAGGACACTGGATTAGAATAGAGCAATAAATTAATTATGTTTCTGTTCCGTTTTATGTCTGGAGTGCTGGGAAGTTCAGTCAAAGAACGTAAATGTGCTCTTTGGTGGGGAAGACAAACATTCAACAAGATGCAAAAAGCCAAGGCACTCTTCTGTAAAAAGTTAAAAGCCTTTATTAAATTAGACCCCGGGTAACAACCCACTTGTAGCAGCACAAACAGCCTTCTTCAGGGTGTAGTCCTCAGCACACAGTCAGATGCTTCAATACAAACCAGATGATTAGGAGACCCTGAGCAGGATTGGATTGAGCTCAGGGGGTGAATGTGGGGTACCAGATTCAAAGCTTTATTGGAACAAATGGGTGTCATCCAGAAGACTCTTTAAACCTGTACAGAAACTATACAAGAGAAAATACTTAGTTAGTTGATATATCCACTTCAAGATCAAATGAAACATTATTTGGAGCTGTGTTTCTAGTGACATGACAAATAGACGCTCCGCTCCTCCAATGACTCCTGGGAAAATATGTGGATCCGAAAAGCTGCTCTTCACCTGCTAGTTTACTAATCTGTATCACTGCTGCTAGACTTTAGGAGTATACCCAAGGGTTTTAAAGCTTGTGTTTGATGATTAAGGTGAAAGTGAAGGCCTTCTAGCTAAAACAGAGTTCTGAAAAAAAGCTGAACAGCTACGAAGGGAACCTCGGACAACATGCAGAGTCCTTCTTGTGGCTCTGATTCTACACGGTACACTTCACATGCTTGTCATTTGATTTACTATTTGTAAAATTAACATCTTTAACCTCCTTTCCTTTCACAATAATTGTTTTTTTCTTGTCTTTTTCGCATTTATATTTCGTTTCATTTTCATGCTGAGAAAGCTGGAATCAAACAGAAATCTTCAGTGTGTCCTGTGCAAATACACCGATCTGAAGTTCATTTTAAATTCCTCTGGAAGTGTGAAGCAGACACACAGAATGCTCTGTTGTTACGTAATTGTTTGAAGCCTCATGGAGCGATCCTTGCACTGACTCTGTGTCAACAAGCAATCATAAAAACATTTCCTTTACTCCTCGGGAGTGTTTTTGATTCCCTCTGGAGGCCAACATGCTGAAAATGTGTCAAGCTGGTTTTTTTTTTATAAAGAAAGTATCAAACCACATCTACATGATGTAAGAACTGTGTGTGTGAATACTTTGTACATGAACAGTATGAACAACAGTGCTGGTTGTGTTTGTGTGTCCAGCCAGTGTGCTGCAGGCCATGGCGGTGCTGGTCTGTGCCGAGATGTACCAGGTGAAACGTCTTCAGCACCTGTGTGAAGTGTGCGTGTGCGCTTACCTTCAGAGCATGCCCAGTAGAGAGCTGTCATCAACAGGCATCAGCGTGATACGACTACTCCGCAGGGCAAAGGTCAGTGACACTTTAAAAGTTTGAGTGAATAAAAATGTACAAGAGAGATGAAATAAGAGCATGAAGAGCTTGATAGTGTAACTCGACCACAGACATTATGTGTATCCTTCAGCCAACAGAATGCCAAAGCTGTGTTAGGAAGACGTAAATCTTTGTCTTTGTCAGTAGCAAGCTTGTATGTTTATCTTGTATAGGCCATAACCTGCAACAAGGTCCATGTTCACCAGTTACTAAACATGACTTCTTAAAAGAAAACGTGTTTTCTTTTATTTCATCAGTGCCACAATGCAGAGCAGCTGTATATCTGGCTCCTACACTTCATTGCCAACAACTACCTGATCTTCAGTCACAAGCCTGACTTCCTGGAGCTCTCAGGTCAGTGTTCGTGTTCTTTGTAAAGTAAGATGGGCTTCACAGAGGGGATAGTCAATCACAAATGCTGATTTCAGACTTTTGAGTTTGCTGCAGATTTTCTTCTAAAATAATGATTTAAAAATGCCTCCAGGCTTTTGAGATTTTGAGTTCCACAAAGTTTAAGTGGGTTAGGGTCCTCTGTCTCATATTTGTGAATGGAGGGATAGTTTAGATTTTTTTCAAATTGATAGCTGATTTGTAGAATGTGTTCGGTGAAATTAAGGTGCCCACTATTAAGTTGTGAATTCAAAAGAAACACTCGTAACCATGTTTTCACTTTGACTGTTTTGGATCTGAATCTGAAGTGTAATTTATTTTGTTATTAGATGTTTTCCTGAGCTAAAGGAAACAACCATGATCACCTGTGAATACCTCTGTATTTATCCTAAAGCACAGTACAGCAGTATGTATGCCTCCTTATAGTGTACTTAGTACTATAAGTTTATGCATATCATTAAAGTCATATGCATTTAATAGGCCACATAAGCACACTCAAAAGCTTATTACAAAGACTAACAGCAACATTGCTCCAGTTAGTAGCAGCAGATTTTATTAACATCATTAGTCATACAGGCAAATATCATTAAGGGTCATTGGACGGGTACTGAAGGGCACAAGTGAAGTCAAAGGCCAGAATGAATATATAACACATGATCGATGGTCATCGATTGTCTGCTGCTTAGCCGTGTAAACAAAATCTTATCAGATATTTCAGTCTTGTTGGCTGCGTTCATGGCAACAATCCCAGGGGGTCGTTGCCGCGTGTGTTTGTGTGAGCATGTGCCAAGCACAATAAATCATGGTGTTAACGGGTCTATCAGAAAAAAAAAAAGCATCCTTTGGTTGTGTTTGCAGCAGAACAAAGTGTGATATGTGTTTTTTGTGTGTCGACTAGAGGAGGAGCGGGAGCAGGTGGAGAGGCTACGCTGGCCGTCCAGAGGCTACCTGCAGGAGCTCAGCGAGTACCAGCAGCGGCGACGCAAGCTGCGCAAGTCCCGCTGCATAGTCATGTGACCCCTCCTGGATGCCAACAACAACCTGAGGAAGAGGGGGAGGGGGAGCAGAGGAGGGAGACCAGGGAGAAAATTAAGACTGAGAGTAACACTGTTCTTGAACATATGAGAAAAAGAAGGACCCCCCCCCCCCGTTAGTGCTGCTGGATGATGGGCTGATTCAGACGGACACTGTTGCAGAGGAAAACATCATAAGACTCTTAAAGCAGTGACATACACGGCTGTGACGAGCCCCCCTCCCCCAGAGGAATAACTGTGTGTCCTTCGTTTAATGACTATTCTATCACGGGCAATACAAAATGACTAATCCTTTAAATCCAATATGAATTTAAAATGACTGTCTGGCCACTGACGGTGGAAGATTAGATTTCTATTGGCGGGTGCAAAACTGAGGATTTCGAAGATGACAAAAGACATATCAAACGACCACAAATCTGTTGGAACGGAACAGGATCATGTGCGGACTGTTTTTAAGTACAGTAACTGGGTAACTGGTCTTCAGGAACCTGAGGATTCTTCAGTGAGGTCAACACAGGGAGGCTCCTTCTTGAAATAAAACCATGGCACCATGCTGGGTCTGTGCTGCATCTAAAAATGGTGAATGTGTGCACATGCAGCGTTTCATAAGCTGAAGTAACTGTTGAGCCTCTTTCTTCTAAGTGGCATGATCAGTATTTCGGCTGAGTGTGGACCTACACGAACACCGAGCTTACAGTGGTAGTGCAAACATGCTCATTTTCATTTGTAGTCAACAAGAAGGACCAATTAAGTCAAATACTTATAAAAAACATTTTCTCTACCTTTAATACAACAGCAGTGACAGTCTCATAGTGAAAACTGTATTACCACCGTGATGTAATACATTTAGGTCCTTGTTGGTGTCTAATTAGCCAATCTGCCTTACATGAAGAAATGGCTAAAAATCAAGTCTACAAATTCAACTACACACATAGCCTGTATCAAAATGAAGCGCTGTGAACCAAATCTATAACAACACTCACGAGTTCTACTTTGTCTCGAGTCCAGGAGCTGGACTTTAACATCATTTTCTCTGCAGCATAACATGGAACTCTTTGTCATTTATTCGCAATAATAAATAATGAAGTTATGTCTCTGTCTGTCACATTAAAGGAGAAAAGCCTTTTGTAGCATTTATGTATACAGAAGTCGTGTAAAGATTAAATTAACAATACAAATGGAGAGAAGTTGGTACATTAAAAACCACAATGCCTCTGGGTAGGAAACTATTTATTTTATCCTATTTTTTTATTTAAGACAGTTGTTTTTCATTAGAACTAGATTATGATTTATTGGTGCTGCAATTATTTTTGTAAACTGTATATGGACATGATTATGACTATTTTTTTTTTTTTTACATTCTGATTAGAGACAACCGGGTCGCACTATTTTACAGTCTACTGCTTCACTGTTATGTACAACAAGGATCAGTGACCTTTTTTTTTTTCAAACGATAGAAGAAGACACACTGGACATGCTATACCTATAGCTAAATAAGAACACGCAGAATGTGGCATTATGAAGTTTAATTTTAATGTGTGGATGAGTTTCAATCACCGTGAACAGCTGTATTGTAACTATATGAAGTATTTGAGCTGCCATTGTGAGATCCTGAGAGTTTGCAGGTGATATCAGGCGGCACCTTAGCACACCTGTTGTATATTTAACCTGCTGTTGCGCCACATCAATCTTTACAAAAAAAGGTGTGTATCTTGTAAGGAATCTTCAGATAAATCCCCAAAAGAAAATCAGTAAATAACAGTGAAAAAACTCGACTGTAAACAAAGTGTTCTGTAGTGCTGCATCTTTACCCAGTGTGTGGCTCCTGTTGTACAAAGTGTAGATAACATGAAGTCTGACTTTAAATAAAGACATGTTTTAGATGAATATACCCCTGACTCCGTATGTGTCTGCATCTGCTGAGCTTGTCCAGGCACAGTCAGTGTGCAGATGTTTGTGTGGATTTTGACTGTATTCATTTTTTTCTCTCCCACAGAGACACCCTAGTCTTGTTTCAAAAATGTTGTATGGGTGCTTATTTGTGTTATGATCCGCTTACTGTGAAGGCCATAACACATGATTAACATTATTTTCATGCTCATCAAATCTTTCAGCACCCCCTCAGGCGTCTGCATTCATTATGTTTTTTTTTTAAATAATTAACTGAGGTGCTAACTTCTATCTGGCAGTCATCTGTGTGGGCCTGGAGCTAATTTTCCTCCCATCTCTTCCACTGAGCAACACTTACTTTAAAAAAAAAAAAATCTCTTGGAGCACCACCTTGGGCATCTTATTTCCTTTCATTTATTTATTCCTGCACTAATGAGCGCTTACTGTTACTAATTCATGCACTTAACAACTTGCTCTGAGTCCTCTTAAGGGGCAACTGCCACCTCCTGTTCCCACCTGTTTTTGCATTTGTTTCCTTACTCTACCCGCCCCCTCCTGTCTCTTCTTTACGTAGATTTTTCCCTCTGTCTTTCTCTTTATGTGGCAGCTGTGCAAATGAGTGTGTTGTTCTGTACCTGTGGGTCTGCAGCGGTTCACTGCAAGGCTCCAATGGACTGCAGCATACTCTCTAGTTTGCCACTCTTATGCAGTGCCTCTACGTCGCTGCCGCCTCCAACACACTCTTCACCGATGAACACCCGTGGGACCTGCAACCGAATCAATACAAGAGACAGTGAGATGCAATTAGAAAGGGTGCGCTCAGTGTCCTGTGTTAAGTGCGTTAGTGAGCTACTTACACTGGTTTTTTTTTTTATGAACCTGTGACCAGCAGGGCGAGGACTGCAGCCCTTACTCATACTTTATACGAGTTCTATATCTTCATTATAGTACTACAATCAATTGACACCTTCAGTTGTATGATTTGAAAATATTTATATAGACGCCTTCTTTAAATGTTCTGTTATGAATAAGACTACCAAACAGTTTACACTGTGAAGACATGCATGAAGAATGATTCAGACCATTTTCAGACATGTAATGAGCAAACTGAATCATCAAATGTGAAGAATAGCTGATAATTATTTATAAAAAAAAATGTTTTTATAGTTTGGACTTTGGACAAAAATAAGCAGGTTAGATGTTTGATTCATCAATTTTTTTCATTTTGTAAATCAAAAGTGTAACAAAGTGAGAAGCTATTAGATTAAAAAAAAAATGTAATCATTTGTTGTAGAACTATACAAAATAATCTGCTCAACTTCCACCAAATATAACAGTAAACATGCATTAACAGTAGCACAAAATCTAAATAGCAGTGTAAAACCATAGCTAATTTTGTACACTTTATAGTACCTTTTATCTTGCTCCCAAAGGTAAATTGGGGATGGGGGGGGGTGACCAGCTGGATGACCACTTCCTTTAAATGGGAACTCCCTGACTGAGGTTCATGATGCTTATTTCCCTATTCAGTGGTTTCCTGGTTGACTTTACTTCTCATTTAAAATAGGATGTCAACAAAAGTAAACACACCCTATCGTAATTTATATGCACAACAGCACTGCTAATTCTCATTTTAATTAAATACAAAATAAATAAACTCGGTCTGTGTACGTTATTTGCATGACTTTTTTTTTTTCCTTCAATCTTCAATGGCTACAAATATAAGATATAGGGAAAACGTGTAAGGTGTTGTGTTTTCAGTAGTTTTAAGAGAAACTCCTTCATTGTTTAATGTAAGAACAGACTGTATCAAAGAGATATCAGATATTATTTACAGTCTATGACCAAGCAGCTTTCTGTTTACCGTGCGGGCTCCGGTAAGTTCCATGAAGTAGTCTTGCATGTTGGCCATGTCGCTGCGTCCACTGATATCAATGAACTCCAGATGTCCAGGCTTGAACTTGTATTTCGACAAAACATCTTTAGCCTTGATGCAGAAGGAGCAGGTGGGCTTGATGAACAACACCACTTTGTCTCCTTTAATCTTAGTCTGAACAAACTGCTGCGCCATTGTAGCGGTACCGTGAACCAGTCAAAGAGTAGGGCCTAAGTGGGATCACTCGGGAGAAGAAAGACAATCGTTGTGCTTGCGTTTTGTCAATCAGAATGACGTAAGGGGGAAGTGACGCCCCTTAAAGAGACACGACACTCTCTTGTGCAAGAACCGTAATATTTACAGTCTATGGCAAGAACAGGAATTTCCAGAGAAGGAAAACAAAGATTACAGCTTGTGACTAAAAGGTTTTATGACTTAAAGTAATAAAGTCAGATATAATGTTTATTCAAAAGTCCTGTGTAGGACCATTAAACACCAGTCCCTTACAAACAGCAGATTCATTGTCTGGCCAAAGACAACTAAAGAAATCACCTGATCATAGACTCTACAGACTATGTTCCTGAGACAACATATTCTGTGTTCAGATCAAGTTGGTGGTAATTTAATAGCATGTGAGCTCATCTAAAATAGTATAAGGTTAACCATTTCACAAACAGTTCCTCTACAAGGCAGGGTACAGAAGTTAGCTTTAAAGGACCCCGCTGAGTTGATATTGAACCCTACTACAGGGGAGCTTATTCCCTTAGCAATCGAAACAAATCAATCAATCACCAAAGCCAGTGAGAATAAAACAAGTGTGAGAAATGTGGGGCCCATCTGGATCTGGGGTTGCTCAGTAAGAGAATAAATCTGATCTTGATATATAAGTGTATTTGTTGGTTTTATGTGTATTATGTGTAATTCGAGGCCTCCCAGTGGACAAGTTTGACCTCTCGTGTCTTTGCTGGTACTGTTACATGAGGGTAGTGTTTTCTGACCAAAGAAATCCTCCTGCTTTCTGATAACAGTCTTGCGTATCTATCATTCAAAATATGTTCTGTGAAAAATTAATTAAAAAAAAGAAAAACAACAATAGCCTTTGGCAGTCCTTACGGGCATTGCCATAGAGCCTATAGAAATACTTGATATTTATTTTGTAGGTCGTAAAGAAGCATCAGTATTCATTTCAGTCTGTTATATCACCTGAAACTCCTCAAAGGGGCTTTAACAACCAAGGTCTGCAATGAAAATCGATCTCCCAGGACTCCAGCAGAAATCACTTTCCTGAATGACTTGATGAATTACGGCTTTATTTGCATCACATTATGTCATGTACATATCCAGCAGCTTCTTTTCTCCATCTCTGATATATCAAGTCGAGGGACCAACTGAAACCTGCTGTTATACATTATACCTCAAAAGTTCGTACGGATGCAAGCTCAGGAAAGTTGTTAAGTCTTGACCAGTTTTCAGGGTTAATAGAGTCACATTTGATCATGGCGACATAAACATGGCCTAAGAGAGGATGCAGCCTGGGTAAAGTAGTTCATAATCCATGTTTTTAAGTTGCTGCCCCCAACTACAGCAGCCCCCACAACAGCAGCCCCCACAACACACAAATTGTGGGGCTGCTGTAGTTGATGTGCTGTTGTTGTGTGTTGTGGCGGCTGCACAAGCAGCCCCCACAACACACAAATCCTCCACATCTCTGCCATCTGCTGTAATTCCAACATCACAATCTCACGGCTGCAGAGGACCGCTACAAAGTAACTTAATAAAGTCACATTTTAAATAGTGAGAGAAACATTATGAAAACCAAAGTCATGTTTTTGAAAGTGAGTGAAGCTCTGCTGCTGCTTATTCAAACCAGTCTCACCAGTTTTAACAGCTACAAAGATACACTACAGAGAACCTGCAGGCATGTATGGTATGTCCGGTCAGGTTTTTATTATTTGTCAGACACAGCAACGCTTTATTTCAAGCTGTGGCTTCCTTTTTTTCTTTATTTATCATAAGTGTTGTGTATTTTGTTTTATCTATACTTTAATGTTTCCTGTGCTTAGTTATCTTATTGTCATTAGAATATTATATATATTTGTAATATCATGAAACAGAGAAAGCTGTATCAGACCTGATTCATTTATTCTTACGTTCAGATGACTCTTAATAAACGGGGATGTCTGCATATTGTTTCCTTTCATGAAGAGATCGACTTGATATAGTGCACACTGATGTATCGTTTAAACGTACACTAAAGTTGTACTGGTCAGTGTGTAATATCAGTATGAAAATATATATTTTTAACCATAAATCAATAATTGTTATCTAATGATAGCCTCTGAGTGTCTCTCACAGCCAACAAAGCTGGATTATGGTTTGTGACAGAACTGCAGGGACTTTAAAAACTCAGCAAGGAGGTTATTCTAGAGCAAGCACACCAAATTCAGATGCAACTAGCCCTGTGCTAACATTGAAAGATAAACATTGCAGTACAGTTCAACTTGTTCATAA